CTTTCAAGCTATCAATTCCGGTTCAGTGATTCTGCACTTGCTCTATTACTATAGTACTATACCGCCTTCGACTTTTGTGAACGACTGGGTGTTTACGGTTCGCGATTTGTCGTATTATCTGGCTGTATAGCACATGGAAACAAGACAATTACTTTACTATGTTAGTTAAAAAAATTTATTTTAATATTTACGTGTTTTTTTTTATTTAGGGCCCCTTTGTAACATTTGCTACAGACCCCGCACTAGCGTCATCGGGCACTGGGGCTAAGGGCATGCGGTGGTGGTGGTGGATGATGATGGTTGGGGGCATTCTTGTTGGCAAGCCTCTCTATCGCGTTGTTGGCGCTTTTCCCTCTGCGGCACGGTGAAGATGTTCTTTCGTTGAGTGCGACGACCCCCTGGTCGATCGTCTTCCTCCTCCTCCACGTGCTCCTGTGCCGCACAATGCCAACATTGGCAACACGGCTAACGAAGGGCACCGTTCGACGCTGTATGTAGCACGCGACCTGCACGTTTAGCCAATTGAAATCGTTCCCTACTCGCCGAGCATGGTGGGTGTTTTTTCCAGTTCGTTCGTTTGTGCCACTGAAACCCACGCCTGTCGGAAGAGGCGATCATCGACGGCGTGAAGTGGAAAATCCAACGACGAAGATTTCAGCAGCGAACGATTGTATTCGGTCGCTTTGTAGGAAGCCGATGCATTGTCTACAGTCGCTCTCATTCTTCCACCGCGTCTCTTGTGGACCGGGCAGGGTGCGCGCGGTGTGTGTCAAGGGGGTGGGTTTGTCCTTCTACCTCCGTCCAAGACTTCTGGCCCGCGTGGGAGAGTACAATCTTCTCGAGAGGCGGCTCTAGAGAGATTGTGGCCCTTCTGCAGGCAGTGGCATGGGGGGGGGGGGGAGGGCAATATTTACAAGGCTGCACTTTAGCCTCTTATCGTAATTTAACAATGACTCTAAAGATAAAACAGTATAAAAAGCACCGCACGCAACAGTAATGCCTTGATCTTTAGGACAAATCCCTTGAGCCACGGTCACCCGAGGCTGCGAACAAATATCGACCTACGGTGACTCGGCTGAGCGCGGCGTGCCCCTTGTGGCCGAGGTGTCAAAGGTCACGGCGGATGTCAACGTGGGAGGGTGCAGGCCAGCGCAGCCGCTGCTGAAGTGGCCTCGGTGGAGCAAGCACGGTCCAGATTAGCCCCGATCTTCACGAGGTGGGCACGCAGGCCAGTGGCCGTGCTGTGACATTTAACCCACGCAGGAGTTCTATTTGAAGTTATCAGGTGCACACGCACGACTTGTTTATCGGTGGTTTATACAAGCAAAACATAAAACTGTCGTCGTAAATTGTTAAGCATTCCACGTGTGGTTTTTAAAAAAAATAAAAGTTCTATAACCCGCAGAGCGTGGCTGTCAAATGTGGGAGAGTCGCCGCCTTAACGCGGCAGGATGGCGACGCTGGGTCGGGGGTTTCCGTGCCGCTGTCGGGGTTGGCACCGTCGGCCGCGTGCAGATTCGAACCACGGTCCACGCGATAGGCCTCGATGTTATTTTATTTGGCTTTTTTTCAAGGAGTCTAAGAATGAATGCTTCCAGTTTGATCGCCGACACGACAACGCGCTTTTGCATTTGACGTGTGTGAAGTCGAGCCTATTTTAAAATGTTCTTAAACAAGTGGCGCATTGCTGGCAGCAATCTGCCACTCAAAGCGTCATCACACGTGTGCCCCTAAAGTGTGGACAAAAGATATCTCTTGAAATGAAACAAATTTTGGTATGATTTCTGTTCTATCTCATTTGTATTGTTTATCTCGTCCGGCTTGATTGTACAGTGACGTAACATCGCCAGATGATTCACATAACACGTCGCGTAAATCCGGTAGTCAACGGTTGCGCAGTTAAACCATGGACAGCACCGGTGGCACGGTCACAACACCGGGAAGGTTCAGGACATTCCCGATGCGGCAATTGAATTCCCGTGAGCAGCACCGAGCGCTCGCGTGCCAGTAACTTTTCTCGGCGGCGTAGTCGGGAAAAATCTTCGATATCGTTCGACAGCACTCGGCTGCAGGCCTCGTGACAGGCCGCGGACCCGAAACGCGAGAGAGTCACCATTACATAAGTGGGCTTCACGCGTCGCGTGGCAGGGATGCCGCCCTCACCACCCCTCCTCCTCCTGTACCTCTCCGGGTTATTTTTAGTTCGCGTGTCGCACACGGCCGATTCAAAGGGGCTACCGAGCCTCCAGTCACGCAAAGTTCAGGCGGTATTTTTAGGCGCGGCGCCACCGCCACTGCCGCCGCCGCTCTGGAGGCAAAGGCGAACATGCCGCGCTATTGATTTACGTCCTTCGGCTGCTGACACTGCGTTAGATTGTTGTGCCCGCGACAACACACGCAAAAAAATGCCGCTAAATGACGTTTAATGCGCTTTGCTTCTTACACCTATATGTGGAAAAGTCGTCGTTCTTGCGGCATACGGCTCGCAATCGCTGCGGAACCACAACGCGGTGAGGGCTGCAGCCAGGCGGTGAGCTGCCGCTACCAACAGTTGCCCAAGCTCTGCAGTCCTCTGTTAATGACAACAACTTTTTGAAGGCAATTAATTAGTGTGTTTACACGTGGGCGTAAACACCCGCAAATGTGTCCGGTTATGGTTTTTATTTTTTGGTGTTGACAGATCGGCAGGAATGTATGTACTTTTTTTTATACGTCATTAATATTTACTTGTTTTTTGCGACTTCCTTACAATGTCTCTATCTTGCGCTCCTCATATCGTCCTTCGCCTCGTGTGTTGATGTAACTCGCTGACCCACGCGGCCTCTGCTGGACATTCGGGGAAAAATAATATCTGCCAAAACTTCATCGGATTCCTCCAGTCTCAATAAAGATCATCATTGTGATGAAAGGATTCCATTAAAAGGATGGTTTTGTTGTTGTTGTTTTGTTTACGAAAACGATTGAGCGGTTCATTTGGAACGTCTCGTCACAGTGGCGACGGCGAATGGCACGAATTCTCTCACTCGCCGCCGCTGCTGATGTCCCACATTTGTCTTCAAGATCGACGCGGCCGCGTGGCCTCTCGGCTCTCGACCGCGTCGAGGAATCGTCGTGACTATTAATTCTGCGGTGTTGGTTTTACTTTGAGCTTTTGCGTGAGTCCCATTATCCTGGTCGTTTCTTCGGGTTTGGTGGCAGCCATCCTAAAGGAGCGTTCGGGAGTTCAGAGGGGGGAGAGGAGGGAGGAGGAAGGGAGGAGGGGGGAGGAGGAGGGGGGGAGGAGGAGGGGGAGGAGGGAGGGAGGCAGGGGGAGGGAGGGGGGAGGGAGAAGGGAGGGGGAGGGAGGGGGAGGGAGGGAGGAGGAGGGGGCAGGAGGAGGAGGGGGGAGGAGAAGGAGGGGGGAGGAGGAGGAGGGAGGAGGGAGGGGGGAGTTAGGGGGAGGGAGGGAGGGAGGAGGAGGGTGAGATGTGATGACGATCGCCAACAGTGGAGGTGGACTCTGGATGACACCAGAGAAGGGGATGACTCCCAAACAACGTCATCGCGAGTTTGTCAAACCCTCTCCCGGGCACTGGCGAGAGAAGTCCTGCTTACAAGACGTTGTCATGGAAGTTGTTGTTGTTGTTGTTGTTTGTTGTGGAATTGTTCGTCAGCTGATTAGCGTTGCTCGCTTGTGAGTCCGTTCGCCAGGCCGTGACCTTTGGCGAGCATAATCTGAGCGAATGCCTCGTGCTGAGCTCATTGCTTCGTAGTCATTGGAGGGAGTTAGATAATAACAACAACCCCTTAAATAATAATAATCCTTCTTACAAAACTCTGCGGTGTTGGGTACCGCCGCTGGCAAGCGGAGCAATCTGCCAGTGCAGTGGCAATATATTCAGCACCCGTCCATCCACGGCTCTCAACCAATCCCATTCATCTCACCCCGAACGGCCTCCAAACCAACCCCTCATTTCGCCTTAGTTTGCTCTGACGACCAATCCGACTCGAATGTTCCTCCACCTTCAAATCCCATTAATGCCCCCCCCCCCTCCCATGGGACAGATCGTCAAATGTGAGAGAGTCGAAAGCGCCATTTGACCTCGCGAGCCGCGAATTACACTGGTCAACAAAAAAAACATTTTTTTCTGGCCTGGACTTTTGCAGCTGTTTGAGACTAATTTCAGGATGCTGATTCCAAATCTGATCTCAGATTTGCTGTATCACATCTCATTTTTATGCTATCGGCATACCCCATTTTCATTGATTTTACCCAAAATGAACTCTGTCGCTTATGATTGCAAGTTGTTGCGAGTCAGTGACTGCTTTAGTGTTAAAATATGGTGCTGTATTTTTAGGATAGTGTGTTTATAATATAATTTTATGTAGATATCCACATTTATTTAATATTTTTTCTGCAGTTTTGATTGAAAATGCAATATTTGATATCTCAAAAATCTGATGTGATAGACAAAAACTGATGCCAGATTTGGAACCAGCACCCCAAAATTACCTTAAAACCGTTGGATTACCTTTTGCCAGAAAAAGCGTGTTGACCAGTGTTATTCATTTCCCAACATGGCTAGTTTTCGATTTAAAGCTTCGTGACTGCAGGGATTCATCTTCTTGGTTCTTTCGGTAAAGTCACGTAGAAGGGGGTTTTCACCTGAGGACGGCTGCTTGCGTTGTGGCCGAAACGTCGTGAGAATTATTTTTTTATTTTTTTTATTTCCCTTCTACGTGACTTTACCGAAAGAACCAAGAAGATGGCTAGTTTTTGGACTCTCGCTCGACCCTTTCCCACGAAGACGATGATCCCGATGGGGCCGCTTGTCCGGCTACATATTTGCGCGGGAGATCGAGCGGTGTGGTACGTGAGCAGCAGCAACAAAGGCGGAGGGGGATGTGAGTCAACACCTGCTGCACCTGCAGGCGGAACCGGTGACCTCTGGACCGCACGTCCGGAGCGCGCCCAACCCGTTGCATCGCGGCAGGTCGTGAATGGAGTTGCAAGAAGCGAGTGAACAATATGTGGGCGTGTTTATTCCACGGCGACGTTAATAGTATCATGTCATCGCGTTACACTTATAATCAGTAACAGGTAGCAGATCCATCCTCAAAATCAATACAGTTGTCACTTTGCAGTTCTTGAATACTGACGCATTTAGGTTACATTGTAAATTATAAATACTGTCGGACGAAATGCAAAAGTACGCAAATTGTCTTTCCTATAATTGTTTTAATCAAAAAATATAATTTCATTAAGATGATTATTGTTTGACAAACGATCCACGGTCACAGCTGTGAAACCTGTACTCTGCAAAGAAGAACTTTTCCTGAAAATTGTTTTTTATTCTCAAATAAAAATAACAAAAATCCCTTGACGTATAAATGGCGAACGTAACCCACTGCCGTACTTCACAATTTGTAAAAATACTTTACCGCACGATATATTTTTTTGGCATTGACCTGCATATGTTTCACACGTCAACTTCTCTCGCTGACAACGTCACCGGCACGCTTCGTCGTGCACGAGGCCCTGCTGCGACACGCTAGGAGTTGGACGCGACTGTGGCACCGAGCGGAAAGTGGCACGCAACTGTGCCGCTGCCTTGGGCCTTCCCGAGTGGCCGACGGGCAACTTACACTCGCGCTTTCGACTCCTCGCAGTTTGCACGACCATTAAAAAGTGGGCCGGAGCTAGAACCGAGCCAAGTTTGTGCCTTTTCCACTGGCGCGTCCAAGCCGAGTCAGGCCCCTCGCGGTGCCTTTAGTTACCCATTGGCTGTGTGCCGAACACGAGGCCTGGAGCCAAGCCGTGATACGCTGGCCTCACGTGACAAGCGGCGCCTGGGGTGGCGGGGTCTCGAACTCGTTCACTCCGTGTGACGTCAGCGGCACGGGTCGTCTTCTGCAGTGGAAAACGAGCATGGCGCCTGCGGAGGACTATTGTTGTTGCTGCCGCAGAAAATTAGTGGACAACAGCGGCCTCCGTGAAGGTGCTGGATGAGAAGGAGCAGAATGAAGGTTCGACAAGGGACAATGTATCCCAGCCCTTTGCTGGAATACACTCCAAAGCCCTACAAACTGGTGGCAGCCCTACGGCTCGATGGCTCAACTCCCGGTTGACCGCAAACATCACCAAATGCAACCCGGCAACTGACCCGAGCAGTGAACTCCCAGGGTTCAACCTTCCACGGACAACTTGGACAACCCTCGACCGCTCGTGGACGCTGGCCCGGGCAAGATGTGGCCACGTGCTCCAACAAGTGGAACGTGAGGAGCAGAACCAACTTGTGACTGTGGCCACCCCCAAGTCAAGGCGCTCGCCCACGTACCGAACTCCTGGCCCTGAGAGATCCGTTCCCCAGTGACATTGCGGCCACTCACTATGCCTCGCCTGAAGCCGTTGAATGGATCGCTAACCTCGACATCGAACGACAGCTCCTTCCCCCAGCCATATGAAGCAGAAGAAGACGGAGTGCAGGAAGCGCACGAGAGAGCGGTGGTGGTTACCGAAGGAGGGAAATAGTTGTAAACACGATGAGGGTGGATGAGGGATGAGTTGTTGAAATTATTGGTGGTGGTCAAAGGAATAAAGTGAAGGCACAAAGATAGCTCGCGTAAAATGCTGAAAAACTATTGGAGAGCCCCCATCAGAGTTTGTTCTGCCCGTGGGGCTGCACGTTGTGGAACTACGTTTTGGCAGAGGCACTGGCCTCTGCATGTACGTACTGCCCTGGTTCACAGTGACTCACGGGTGTTGAGTTTTACTTGGGAGGCCCACTTAATGGGCAGATAAATTTGTTTTTTTTGTTCCTATCCGGTATCAGGATCATATTAAAGACGCTCCTAAATTCTACCTCGGATGTTAAAGATGCCTGCTGCTTGAGGTTATCGCTGCCACAAATACCTGGCTTCCTGAGGCTCAAACGTACTAATGATTAAAAGAAAAAGAAATTGTTTATTAAAAATTTCACCTGGATAACTCCTCGAGATAGAACATCTCATTTGCAAGCGTGTCTCCAATGCTAAAACGTGTAACATAAAATACGAGGTTGATCGTCACTCACGCTTAAAGGTGGACAAGTGTTTGAGCCGGCATAATCATGTATGACAAAAAACATCGCAAACATACCTTTAAAAAAAATATGACATTAAACGTGAGTACACTTCTCTGTATTTGTTGAACACCGCAGCGCAGTTTGTGCGGTCGTGCTTTGCAGCCCTCCGATGCGTTCTCGGATCGCACCGCGTGGTGTTCCACTCGACGTTCGACGTTTCGCTCCAAGTTCTGGGAGCTTCTCCGGGAACAGAATACCAAAGAAATTACAGACCAAAGTCCCTCTTTGTGGAGGACCGATCCTAAGAAACCCCCAGCAGCAGCAGCACGTGGAGAAAAACGTCGGACATCGTGCCAAACAGCCCAGGGCACAACCCGCATGCAAAGCATTATGGGACAACAAGAATGGGGCAGCCCTCTCTCTCTACCTTGGTGGAGGTTTGGGCGTCGTGTGCCGTGAATATTTTCCACGACGCCACGTGGCGCAACAAAAAAAAACCCTTCCGTGTGAGCGTGCGCGGCTCCGTGCGTGTTCGCGACTTGGCACGCACGCAACGCACGAGCGCGCGGGACGTCGCCCTCGCTCTGTTCCCACGTGATCTCCTCCGCGCGTCTGCGACGCAAACGCATCGCAGACATCTCGGCGGTGCCAAGACGTGTTTTATTTTTTAAAGTGGCTTCGTAATCCTCTCCCTGATGTAACGCTGACACAAAGAGCACCGTCAAAACCTTACACCGGCCCCTACGCCCTGCCCCCCCCCCCCCCCCCCTCTTAGCACAACTCAACGTCTCTGAGTTCTATGGCAGCCTCACACCTACGGGAAGCGAAGCAGAAAATCAGTAGTGAAGAATAATACCTCTGGTGATGATGATGATAATAGGTATCGGTCGTATCTATAAAGAAAATATGCGATAATGAATGCACTATGACTACAGAAATACTATTATAATGTAACAATCAACATATGTTGTGTGTGTGTATATATGTATATCACAGGATAATCGCATAAGTCATGGCTTCTCAAATTCCCATCCTGATTGTCTCCGCCATGGTCGAGGTTTGCATTGGGGCTGTTGATTTTAAATGTAATCCAACGGTGCTGTCAGCTTCATGCCAGAGGGTGTCCATTCAGAACTCTCACAGAGCAATGCACCACCCTGCGATATAGAGAACGACCCGCAGAAATAGATATCGCAAAACTACTTATGAGATCCCTAAAAGTGACTTTTTTTTATTTACACACTTTCCTCCAAGCCCCGCCACACAGAAATGTTAGCCGAATGGTGAGTAAAAACCAAATATGTTTAATTGTAAGAGCTGCCATTTTTCCAAATGCATTCTAAAAACTAAATTTAACATGATGATATTTTTCTTCAACCCCCGTTCACTGGGCTGACACCATTGACTCGCCAAAGTTGAAAGAGGCAGATGAATCGCAGGGCGGCTTGCACTCCGATTCGAACCCTCGGATGTCAGCGGTGCCATCTCGGTTCTCCCAATCCCTCAGCCAGTTCGCCACCACCACCAATGTTTCCATCTCTACCCCTTGTAGGCTGAAAACTCAACAACTAAACTCTTTATTTTTATTTTATGTCGCTCTTTTTTTAAGAAGCGACCTGGCTATCACAAATGATAGCTCAACGGGGTGGCCGCTCATCATCATCATGTGTAAGTTGACAGCAGACACACACACTCTGGACACGTGACGTTGATTCTAAATGTGGAAGGAAAACCCGGAGGACCCGGAGAGAAAGCCACGCGACCACGGGGAGAGAGAGAGAGACACTGCAAACTCAAAATATTCATCAGGCGTCAGAGTCGGTATCGAACCCACCGACCTCCTGTATACCAGGCGAGGTAGTTAACATCTCGCCACGGCTACGCCCAGCTCTGTGCACTGCGAGGTGGCTTAGATTATGACTCGACCGGTGGCGAGGACTGCTCGGCGCGAGGACGCGATGTCCGTCATTGGCTGTGGCCACGGTTATTGTTTTATTCTTCCTAAAACGACGCTGATCTTGCATGAGAGTCATGTCTACGGACGGGTGTGTGAGCGGTGTCATGGGGAGCGGCAGTGGAGCGGTGAGCACGTTGCCGTAAGAACCCGGTCACCCGAGTTCAATCCCCGCTCGCAAACCAACTTTGATGACGATTATCTGAACCAGTCCTGCACTTCCCCTAGGTCGACTCGGCCTCAAATGAGTACCTCGTAAGATTCGTAATTATTGTCGCTGGGGGAGACAACACGTGCCCCAACAGTCTGTTCAGGCTATGGGGCGGAGATCTTTGTCTTTGTGTGCGAGTGGTGTGGCTGCAGCACCACGCGCACAAACAAGATAGGCCTCGATGGGTATTTGAACTGAACCGGCCTGCCGATAACTTGGCTTAAATGTTCAATGGTCTGCCCAGTTAGTCGCTGACGAAATTCGGCAGCACGTGTGCGGAGCTTGCTCCTGCAACCTCACCGACCCATGAAGGAGCGCGATTATCGCCGGTTTTAGAGCACATCTTTCGACCGCCCGGTATTCACGAGCGAGCGAATACCGTGCCGCGCGAGGAGCCACGTGAACCACAAGCAAGCGGGAAGGTGAGTCGATCGCCAATGATTGCCCAAGCTCTGCGGTCCTCTACGTATGAGGGCCTTGTCGGCCAATTAATGAGCGCTTACATGTGAGAGGAAATTGTAGCGCTCGCGAGAAAACCCATGCGTGCGAGGGTGCAACGCTCTATCCTGTAGAGATGGAACAGTTGGGATCCACGTTGCTTGTTATTTGGGTTATTCCCTTCCTTTAATCAAGAGCGAAGGATCATTACAACTGTGAGTCTTGTACTACTCTGCATGCAAACGCCACATCCTTATTATATTGAGGTATATTAATGTATATTCACGTGCTAAGTGTGTGTTTGTGTCTTCTTAGGATTATTTAGAAAAAAGGAAAGTTCAATTCACTTGGCTATTCGAAATCCAGATTGAAATAACATTCACTTTAAACCATTTGTAATTTATATCAAGTTTATAGCCAGGGGTCGTCAAGATTACGGGGCGATGCGGAAAAACTCAAAGGGACGATGGGTTTAGAAGTTTGTAAGAGTCAAGCAAGGAAATGCTGCGAAACGATGAGCGATGGCTTTCAGGATGGCCTAGGGAGGTGTGAACGCACGGAGGGTGACGCGTGGAGGCGAGGAACTCGGGAGAGAGCGAGAGAAAAGAAACGGTCGAGTTTCCGTGCAAGTTGAGGTGCGCGGTACATCGACTGATGCGTGACCTTATTCTGTGGCGAAGGTTGCGACAGAACCAGGGAAAGGACCTATGCACTCTTGATGCCACTTCCTGAAGCTACTGGGCCTCAATAGTCCACTTTTTGACACTGACACGGCCCCATCAATGGCTTTGGAATCCCACGACCCCTGCTGGGCCTTATGCCTCATTGTTACAAAATATGCTCGACGTTTGGTGGCTACCTCCACCGGATGACTTTAAAAAAAATACTCTTCATCATACGTTGAATTAAACATGAACATTGTTACTATTTACCTGCTTAACTTTTCACTTTTGTTTTTAATCGGCACTGCTCAATCGACCACAAGTATTTTCAATAGGATGGACGAATACGTTGCACGTTCTGACACGTTAGCATTTGCTTTTCCCTTCGAATGAATGCATTACAGAAGCAGTTGATGAGAAGGCTAACTCATAAGCCGCATGTCATGAATTCCATCCAATCACAAGCAGGTCTAATGAGGCAGCTACCGTGGAAATAACCACAGGAAGCTTACAGCAGCTGGGCTGTTCTGGAGGTGAAAATTCCACTTTGGAAAAATGGGAATTCACTAAATGGATACAAAATAGAAAATAGGTGGCTTTTATAACTTGAAAAGATATATTTTATTTATTTTCAGCAAGAACGCGGTTAGTCTCTATTTCATGGGTGTCCTGGGATGGTAGAGAATAGGTTTGAGTGACTTCTCCTACTTCCCCACGGAAGTCCAGTGACTGACGTCTGTCAATGCATAGCGGGCTACACTCTCTCAGTTCCTAAGTACGTGATTTCCTCTTACCGCCTCATGAACGTGCCCTGCTTCCTCTGCAATTCACACACACACACACATCGATATAGAAACGTATATTCACACATGGCTTCTTTGCAACGTGGTCAATAACTGATCGAGAGCGTAAACAGTCACGTGTGTGCTCCCTCGTCAGCTTTCATCCCCAACATTTTGGCTGCCGAAGCTCTAACACTGCCCAACGCAAACCTCATGAGCGTTTTGCCAGGCATCTGAGCGCAACAGGCGTCTCGCTCCCGAGAATAATCATCCTCGTGCTTTTTTGACCGCTGTTTTTCGAACGCAGTAGGTTTAACGGGCTTTTGTACGCACGTCATGTATATTGAACTTCTTCTGCACCAGTTTAACGTGGAGGCTTTCGTGATAAATATCATCCATGATACAGGATTTTTGTATTACGGATGATATTAGATCGTGATCTAACCCAAAAAAAAACCTGCATTATGGATTCTTCTGCACCGTATGTAGCCAACCGTGCTAATCGCTGGTGCGGGGGGAATGACAACAAGCTAAACTCACGAAAGAAACAGCCTTGGCACGCTCGTGATGATTATCTTGATAGAATACCGTCGACTTTGTTGCGGTGCGATATGGTCACCCGTCGTCACCTGAATCTGCTCAGCCGATGTCAAATGGCTCGGCGTGTGATTGGCCAGCCGCATGTTTGCGTTGTTGTGTCTGGGATGATCCCGACCGGGCCCTGCGTGGCCGGCATGTGCTGCTGTCCGCAGTCAAAAGAAGCGACCCCTACAATGCATCACTCGCCTCCCCGCCCGCCCACTCACCACTCGTGCTCCTTTCCGAATGCACCGTGTTTACGCTACTCATTTATATATAAATACACACAGATTATAGCGTGTGCATGCACACACATCACGATAACGATAAGCACCATTGTGGTTCAGTATTGGATACCTCTTTTGTTTTTACTTCATTTAACGTCACGTACGACTGTTTCACTTTCTCTCTTAAAAAACAAAAAAATAATGTCGGTCTGCCTCCAAGTGCCGGCCGGGCACCTGGAGTTTGTGACTGCGACAATAGGATGACGATCACCGCTCCAGGCCTGAGAAACGTGTGGTGGAGAGGGGGGGACGGTGGTGGGAGTGACTGCGGCATAGGACCCGGTGAGGCTGGACCAGCTCACGGTGGCGTTCGGAGACATACGAGCAGCCAGCTGGAGTGAGAAGGGGGGTAATGGCTGTCTCTGGACGCCGATGAGGATTGGACACCCAGCTTTGCGTGTGGCTGGAGAATGTTGAGACGGCCAGCCAGCCGCGTGCTTGGTTAAGAGACGCAGGGCTGACCCACGGTGCTGGTGAGAACCCAACAAAGGGTTGAGGCAACGTGGCTGTGGCAGTCCAGAGACGGTGGCAAATATTTTAGGGGAACCGGTTTCTGCACATGGTAACAAAAAATAAAGTGGATTGCATAATAACGCGCGCAATTTGGGTTCGAGCGCAATTTACTTTCGGTGGCCATTAATCGACGTTGGTAATACTCAAGCAGAACCAACAAGTAAAATATTTGGTCTGGACTCTGTACACTACGGGGGCTGGAGAACGCCACACAGGTACCCGTGGGGCTGGATTAAAGGGGTTGAGGTGGCCGTTCCCCGAAGCCGGCAAGGACGTCCATCCGACGTTGGGGCCGGCAGGAACCATCGACGGCCGCAGCGTCGGGGTTGCGAGGCTGCTGCTGGCGATGATGAGACGCTTGGTCGTGGAACCGGGGCGGAGTCCGGAGTGGTGGCGGGGGGGCGGGCGGACGGGCTGGCTGGCTGGCGGGCTGGCTGGCGGGTTGGCGGGCTGGCGGGCGGTACCTGCGGCGTCGTCGGAAGCTGTGGCGCCGACGTCGTGGGCGACGTGGGTTTGGCGGCCGCGCACGCGCGTTGGCTACGTGCGTCGCATGCACACCTGGCAGCGGCTGATGCGTGACCGCAGGTCGCCGGCCTTGAGGGTCTCCGACTGCGGTTTCCTGTTCCGCGAGGGTGTCATGAGGCAGTGTGAGCACACGGCTCCATCACCGGGCGCCGCTGCAGGGCATCGCGTGGGGTTTTACCCACGATGCCTTGCTGTCTAAATGTTAGGAATGAATCATCTTGATTTGTTAGGAATGTGATATTTCCATATGTTGTCAGCAGAGAGTAGCTCTGTGCCTCAATCGCCAATCTGCACCGACCGACATGGTGAAACGCGGTCAATTATCTCCCACGGCCAGCAGGGAGTGGGGAGGCCCTCATCCGGCAGAGGACGGACAAAAGCGCTGCCAACGCGTGCATCATTACCGCTCCCCTTGCGACTCGATGAATCGCAACGACGTGGGGCTCCCGGCTCGATTCCTAAACGGCTTGCGACCTCAAGAGCCTCCCGTGGCGTTGACACGAATCCACCACGAAACAAACAACAACAACAACGACAACAACGCGCCGCGCGGCTCACCGGAACATGTTGCTGCCATCGATGGTGGCGAGCCAGAAGCTAAAGGAGTTGGCGTAGTAGTTGCAGGTGCCGCGTCCGTGGCACTCGATGAAGGGAGTCGAGCGGAACTCCTCCAGGCACGACCCCGGCGAGGCCAACGCCTGTCCCGAGCCCTCCGACCCGGCGCTCGTGTGCTGCAACACACGAGCGAGCGTGAGTGCGCGTTGGCGTCGGACGCGCCGTGGAGCTGCCCCATCCTGTTCAACCGCCCCGGCGTTGAAGGCCGAGGGTCCCCGATTTTGGCATCACGTGACGCGCTGTCGAAATCTACTCGGTCGCGTACAGGGCTGCTACTCGTCAGCGCTCGGCCCCGACGAATATCTGCGGAGCCGTAATCCGGCTCCGTGAGACTTGAGCGTGGTTGCTCAGTTGGGTTGTTTGCAGCTTAAGACGCAAACTCCAGGGGGGCTTCGTCTGACGTTGCTCCGGTTCGTCTTGAAGTAATTACAAGGAGCAACTCGCCGGTGCATTCTCGAGGCTGTAGCGAGCGCTGTTGGGCACGATGCCCAACGGTCTCGCTCCGCGTACTCGGTTAGATTACATCTACACGGTGCTACCAGTAATGCTACCATTAAGACTGACACATCCTTTTTAACGTGTTTCACTTTTGCCAGGGGCCCAACATTTCATCGGTGCCTCTTAGCCACACCCACACGACACGCACGCGACACCCACAGTGGCTGCACCTGCACATGGGGGAGTTGGGTGGAGGTAGGCAGCAGCAGGAGGAGAGAAAATAACTTTTATTTTAAACTATAAACTGTTTTTATTTTACCAGGTAAGGCCCACTGAGCTATGTAGCTCTTTTTCAGAAGCAACCTGGCCACAAACGATTGCTCAACGAAGTGGTTTATGTGGAAAGTTATAGCAGAAGCCAAATACTCTAAACGCGGGATGTTGATTCTAAACGTGGAGGGAAACATCAGAGGACCGGGAGAAAAATCCACGCGGCCACGTGAAGAAAGACACGCGAACTACAAATATACAGCAGCAGCAACAGGCGTCGTGCTCGGGATCGAACCCACGACCTCCTGCACACCAGGCGAGGTAGTCAACATCTCCTAGCCACCTTGGTTGGGGTGGAGGAAGGGAGGGAGGTGTGGCGGGCAGCCTCTCACCATCATGAAGGAGTAGCCGAACCACAGGGAACCCCATCCCTCGGGACACGGTGGCACCGTGACGGACTGGCTGTGCACGGCGATCACCATGGCCGATGCCTCGCACACCGAGCACCTGCGCCGGCAAGGCACGGGAGACAGTGACACACGAGAGACAATGACACACGAGAGACGGTAGAATGGGAGACGGGGGTGGCACACGGGAGACGCTCAATCCCACACAGATGGAACATTTTGCTGTGCCGCCTTCTCCTGGCGAGCCAGGGTCCGCGTCTCCTCGACGCCCACAGGAAGGGTAGTTTCACAACATTTGTTGCGGTGATCTACCAACCCCCCGCCGCTGCCTCCACGGCGCTGGATCACGAGCATCCACGCGCAGCGCGGCCGCGGCCACCACCGGCGGCGCGCTCCCAAAAGGCCGTGCGGCTGATGGGATTCGTTAAAAAATCGCGTTTGTATTTCATCTCGCGCGGAGAGAGGCGAGTCGCGAGGGGGTGGGGGGCAGCACCTGCTGATGAAGGGCTCCACGTGGGGCCCCGTGATGGGGGCCATGCTCATGGGCATGGGCTCGGGCGTGGACAGCCAGTAGGAGTAGTCGTTGCGCGACGCGAAGTTGCACACGTTGTTCAGGTTGCAGAAGACGAAGGGCATCGTGCTGAATCGGCGCAGGCAGCTGCCCGACGTGCCTGCACGCCACGGGGGGGGGGGGGGGGGGCGAGCCAACGCGTGAGCGACAATCGTTTAGACTTGCAACGGCGACCACGGGGTAGAGACGCGTGCAAACTCCGAATATGCAGCAGGCGTCGGGGTCGAGATCGTACCCGCGACCTCCCGCGCGGCTACGCTGCAACACGCCACCTCGTGAGGCACGTCGTACCCAGGTCCTGTCCGTGCGCGCGTTCGTTGCCCTGCACGTAGAGCAGCGAGTATCCGTCGTAGACCTTCTCGGTGCCCTGGGGGCAGCTGGGCACGCTTTTGGCCTGGCTGTGCCTCGTCACCAGGAAGCCGTGCGGCATGGAGGCCTTGCCGGGTTGGCCCCTCGAGCCGGGCATCCCGTCCACGCCCTGCGGCCCGGGACGACCCACCTCGCCTGCCGCACCGTGGACAGCATCATCATCATCATCAGTATCATCATCATCAGCATCGTCGTCATCAGTATCATCATCATAATCAGCATCGTCGTTGCCATCATCATCGGCATTATTGTCATGATCGCCATCGTCGTCATCGGTATCATCAGCATCATCGCCATCATCATCAGCATTATCGTCATCATCGTCATCATCAGCATCGCGTTGACGATCAATGCCACCATCAGAGTCACAATCGCACCACCACCACTATGGCATCCACTAATGGAAACAACCGTACCATTGCAATCACCGTCACATTCACAATTATACCACCATCCAAGCACGAACCAGACTTCCACTGCTGACGGTTCTACTGCTGAAGGTTCTACTGCTGAAGGTTCTACTGCTGACGCACACAGCTGCCCCGGATATCTGCGAGGCCAAATCACCACATGGGGGCGCAAGGTTTCCACATTGAGGTACAGCAAGGCAGCCAGCAACCCCTATCGGGATCTTGACTGTCGGAACAATCTTTTTCTTCTCCACAAACGTGGTCGTTGATCATCATCATCACCACCAGCGGTGCTCTCACCCGGGTCGCCTGAAGTCCCCATGTTGCCTTTAGGCCCCTGGCTCCCGTCGATCCAGGGAACCCGTCCTGGCCAGGCGGCCCGTCGGGGCCCACGAAGCCTGTGGCAACACAGGTGACGGTGTAACACAGGTGATGGTGTAACATAGGTGATGGTGTAACATAGGTGATGGTGTAACATAGGTGATGGTGTGACACAGGTAACACAGGTGACAGTGTAACACAGGTGATGGTGTGACACAGGTGATGGTGTAACACAGGTGACACAGGTGATGGTGTAACACAGGTGATGGTGTGACACAGGTGATGGTGTGACACAGGTGACACAGGTGACGGTGTAACACAGGTGATGGTGTAACATAGGTGATGGTGTAACACAGGTGATGGTGTAACACAGGTGATGGTAACACAGGTGATGGTGTAACACAGGTGATGGTGTGACACAGGTGATGGTGTAACACAGGTGATGGTGTAACACAGGTGATGGTAACACAGGTGATGGTGTAACACAGGTGATGGTGTGACACAGGTGACACAGGTGACGGTGTAACACAGGTGATGGTGTGACACAGGTGACGGTGTAACACAGGTGATGGTGCGACACAGGTGACACAGGTGATGGTGTGACACAGGTGATGGTGTAACACAGGTAATGGTAACACAGGTGATGGTGTAACACAGGTGACGGTGTAACACAGGTGATGGTGTAACACAGGTGACGGTGTAACACAGGTGATGGTAACACAGGTAACACAGGTGACACAGGTGATGGTGTAACACAGGTGACGGTATAACACAGGTGATGGTGTAACACAGGTGACACAGGTGACGGTATAACACAGGTGATGGTGTGACACAGGTGATGGTGTAACACAGGTGACACAGGTGATCGTGTGACACAGGTGATGGTGTAACACAGGTGACACAAGTGATGGTGTAACACAGGTGACGGTGTAACACAGGTGATGGTGTGACACAGGTGACGGTATAACACAGGTGAAGGTGTAACACAGGTGACACAGGTGACGGTATAACACAGGTGACGGTGTAACACAGGTGAGAGAGGGGGGGGGGGCATGGAGACCTTTAGGGCCAGGGTCTCCTTGACGACCAGGAGGTCCCTTGGGACCTTGGAACCCAACTGATCCTGGCTGCCCCGGGTCTCCCTTGATGACGGTGACCTCTCCAGGTGTTCCAGCGATTCCGGGAGGACCTACAACCACAAACAACGATCAAGACAAAAAGTCCCCCATATAGTCTTTAGCAGATTGCTGGGGCAAGTGCTGTTAATGAGAGCATATGCAGGCCAGCGCGGCACACAAGCGGGAGTGGGTGGCCATCACCACGCCTGACTGCTTTTGCCTGCCCAGTGCTCAAATGTACACGCTGTACCAGGTACTCATTTAAGCCTGAGTCGACCCAAGGAGAAGCTTAGGACAGGTTCAAAAATATAAACCATCATTATTCGTTGTGATCGGAAATCAAACTCGGTCGCCGGCTTCGTAGAGCAGTGCCGCAAACCACTGCACTACCGTTCCCAGTACTGTACTTCCACAGACACACATGCTCACAACGAGATAGCGATCTCCTGTACATCCTTGACAGACTGTTGGGGCAAGTTCTGTAAGCGAGCACCTATCAAGCCCGGCACGGCACACGAGGGGGTGGGTGGCCAGCACCACACCCGGCCGCCTTTGTCTTCCAAGTGCCGATGTTTACACACCGCACCAGGTACTCATTTGAGACTGGGTCAACCTATGGGAGGCCCAGGACCGGTTCGGATAATCGTCACTGGTGTTGGCCGTGAGCGGGAGTCCAACCCGGGTCGCCGGGTTCGTCGCGCAGTGAGCGAACCGCCGCACTGCACCACGCTCGGGCGCGTCTGCCTGGCACTGATGCCAGGGAGGGCGATCCCCCGCTCCGTGTTGAGCCTCAAGACTGGGCGGCTGCGTCGAGGCACGGCGTGGTGGCGTGCGTGGAAGTCGCTCACCAATGGGCCCGACCGGTCCCGTCTCCCCGGGGTTTCCACGCGTTCCAGGATGTCCCGGGACGCCCTTCTCTCCTGCGAAGCGGACGCAACGAAAACGAAAAAAAAACATAAAATAAATAAAACATTCGCCACTGCGCCAGTCCATGGCGGTTCGAGCCCTGCGGCTTAAATTCTAGGTCGACGCCACGCTTCTAACCGCATCAAGCATCTTCAGGACAGCACCCGGGGAAGTGACTTCCGACTTCGAACGCCGCATCTGACCGCCACGTTCAGCTGCGAGAATGTGTTCCTCAACTTAACGGGCGCGCTGACACAACGATAACTCACGATCGGCACGTTAAATGCTCGTGCACGTGATGGTTTCATTTGTTTGGCTACGTCGAGTGGGTGGAGGTGTCTCCCGGCATGAACTGGGCCAGATCCCTCACCTGGCGTTCACCCGAATATCCTCTTTGAATGGCGGTTGGCATCGCAACGCGCATCGGATTAGGTGGTGCAGGATGTCAATGAGGGTCACGGTGATGGCAGAAAACTTTTTAGCAGGGCACCCATGTGACAGTGGAAGGGAGGTGTCATCACCTGGAAATCCCGGAGTCCCTTGGCTTCCCGGGTCTCCCTTTGTTCCGTCCAGGCCGGGCCGCCCCTGGGCTCCCTGTTAAAGCAGAGACGACCGTCAACTCGCGGAACAACAACAATCACAGCCGCCATTCCCCCCCCAGTAAGTGGCGGTGACGTCATCACAGCACTCGTGCCAGGCTAGGTGCACTTTCAGGCCAAGGCCGCCGCTGACGGGAAGTCACGGGACAGACCCCGGTGCCGTGGGTTGACTTGATCGAGATGACTGGCAGATGCACCATCTGTGCTCAACACTATGATGACCACACACACAACACCTCACCGGTGTCCTCCTGGCGAGCCAGGGTGCGTCTCCTCCTCCTCGATGCTCACGGGAAGAGAGTTTCACAACAACTGCGTGGTCCACCAACCCTCACTCGTTTTAAGCTTCCGTAACACTGGCTGTGCGGTGTGTCCTCACCCGCCCCACCCCCCCCCCCTGAGTTGTATGCCCCCCCCCCGTGTGGGGGGTACTCACCAGCTGGCCGGGGGGGCCCGACTCGCCGGGGGGCCCCGGGAACCCGGAGGAGCCCCAACTGCCGGGGCTGCCTTGCTCGCCCTTCTGCCCCCCGACTCCAGGCGTCCCTGGGAAGCCAGTCACCCCCTCGGGGCCTGCGGTTCAGCCACCGCAGGGAGAGTGAGTGAGAGAAGAGAGACGTTGAGAAACACGAGGGAATGATTTACACTCGCAGGGCGGTTGCTTAAACGCTGAATCACTCACCGATTCACTCCAGGAACAACAGCCGCCATTCGCCACTAAGTGGCGTTGACGTCACCATGGCGCTCGTGCCAGGCCATGTGCACGTTGAGGCCACGTGAAGTGTCGAACACCCGCTGGCAGGGGGTCACGGGGCAGACTCAAGTGCCACGGGTCGACTGACCGAGATGACCGAGATGACTGGCCGATGCACCACCTGTGCCCCCGAATGTGCCAACTGGCTGTGCTTTAGCCACCCAGTGCTCCGCTCGTTGTTGTGAGCGTCGCTCCTCCCCCCTCCGTTGCTGCTGGAGGGCGACTGCCTCCAACTACCCAGTAGCGTCCCTTCACGAGCCCCTCCTCGGTTAATTTACCACGAAACAGATTCCCTGCAGTCACTCGCTCGCCAGCGGTGAGTTGCCTCCTTGCCCCTCTTCTATCACTACTCCCGTGGCAGGGGGTGAGGTGGGTGGGTGGGAGAGTGGGTGGGGGGGTGGGTGGTTTTAAATGGTGGGTGGGTGGATGGGGGGGGGGTGGGGGGGCGCAGCTTGATTGAAGGGGGGGGGGGGGAGCTGCGCTAACAGCAAGGATGAGAACGGCCACGTTAGAGCCGGAGTCTCACGCACCGGGAGGCCCAGGCAGTCCGGCCGGCCCGGTGTTCCCCTTGGCACCGTCGGTGACCTGGCCCGGAGCGCCCGCAGGGCCCTGCTGGCCCGGTGGCCCAGAGAATCCCTTCTGTCCCTCTACGCCCTTGGGGCCCTGCATCCCGGGTGGGCCGACGTGGCCAGGAATGCCGGGGTCGCCCTTCTCGCCTGACGGAGGAAGGGGGCACAAGACGCGTTGGTATAACGGTGATGAAAGCGGGGGGGGGGGGTAGATAGGGGGGCGGACAGAGGGGCAGAGAGGGGTTGCGATATTTAGAGGCTTCAGACTGGTTCCGTGTAGAAGCAGGGAACGGAGCGGAGAAATGCATCACGGAATTCGGGGCTTTATAGCTTCAACAATCCGCATGACACCTACAGAGGAGATGATGTCGTCGCTCCGTCTCATTTGGCTGCACATCCTCTCGAACACGTTCCGTTCCATGGCTGCCACCCCTCCACTATTCGTTACTACCCGCCAGCATCTGTTCGAGCGACACATCCTGGCCAAACCCACTTGCATTTCTTGACAGTCGGAACCCTACGTCTGACCTGCGTATGCTCTCAAATTGTGCGTTAATCTCTCTCTCTCTCTCAACGTAGTTCCAAACGTGCAGGTTACAACGTTTACACCTCCGGTGCCGAGATGTTAACTCCCTTGTCGGGTATACAGGAGGTCATGAGTTCGATCCCGACCCTGACGCCTGTATATTTGGAGTTTGTGTGTTCTCCCCGTGGTCGCGGGGATTTTTCTCTGGGTCCTCCAATTTTTCCCTCCGCTTTTAGAATCGTTGAGTTGTCATTTGTGCCCTGGTGGCTTCCGAAAAAGAGCTATTATCGAGCTCAGTGGACCTTAGCTGCTGAAATAAAACCTTGACTTAAAGCTTTCGTGACTGCAGGAATTCACATTCTTTGGGTCTTTCGGTAAAGTCACGTAGATCGAACAATAAAATAATAAAATTAAAATAAAGTAAATAAAAAATAATAAAATTATCACGACGTTTTGATCACAGCACAAGCAATCGTCATCACTTTCTTTTCATCTTCATTATTTTATTGTTATATCTACGTGACTTTACCGAAAGACCCAAAGAAAGATTAAACCTGTTTAGTTTTAGATCCGCGCTGAGCCAAGGCAGTGCTGCTCCTCGCCAGGCGGGGTCACGAGGGACGGATTGAGGCACTCTTGAGTGCCGTCCGCTGTGCCAGCTGTTATCGACAAATGAATGAGTGTTTACATGCAGGAGGAAACGATATTGATACCGATATTGATAAGTGGGCGCCACGGTGGCGAGATGTCAACCACCTCGCCTGGTATACGGGAGGTTGTGGGTTCGATTCCGACCCTGATGCCTGCTGCTGTATATTTGGAGTCTGCGTGTCTCTCTCTCTCTCTCCCCGTGGTCGCGTGGATTTTTCTCCGGGTCCTCTGGTTTTTCCCTCCACATTTACAATCAATGTCAAGCGTTCAGACTATTTGGCTGCAATAAAGTTCCACGTGACAAGCCACTTCGTCGAGCTATCATATGTGACCAGGTCACTTCTGAAAAATAGCTATTATATAGCTCAGTGGACCTTAGCTGGTAAAATAAAACGAGTTGAGTTTCAGATCCGCACTGGAAGTGCTGCCATTCGCCACGCTGGGAGCAAAGGGGGATGCACAGAGGCAGCCATGAGTGGCGTTCACTGTGCCATCTGTTATCGACAAATTACCGAGAGCGTTTACATGCGGTGGGAAACCCATGTTGATGTCGGAACGATCTCGTCGCGTGCCAAGGTGGCACGGACGTCTGTTGACCGATCAAGAATTTGTCTTTCAAAAACCGTCTCACCGGGGTGTCCAGGTGAACCGGGTGGCCCAGGCGTCCCGAGGCCAGGAGGCCCTGCGGAGAGAAAGACACAGCAAGCGGAGTCAGGGCCAATGTGCTCGGCAACCACGTGTAAAAAACAAATAACGGAACGGAAGTGCGCTCGTCCACACCTGGATCCCCTCTGCTGCCGATGGTGCCGGGGATTCCGTCTCTGCCGATGGAGCCCTTCTCGCCAGGAGAACCAGGAAACCCCGGCTGTCCTCCGATACCTCGTAAACAACATCAACATCGTTATCATCATCACTCCTATCATCATCATCAACGTTTCCATCATGGGTCAGCAGCAACACATGTTCATCGCTTGTTGCAAAGGTTAGCGGTTTTATTCTGGCATGCTGCCCTGGTTATTACCGCGGGTGTATTAACCGTAATTTATTACGCGCCGTTGTCGTGCAAAACAAGTCGGGTCCACCGTGTGCCGGCATCGTCTGACTGTGAGCGAGAGATGTCTGCTCGAGTTATTGACGTCAACAACGGCCGTGCTTCCAATGTGTAGGAATAACGTGCGCGTGAGTGCTGCCCGTTCTGAGTGGGATGTCGACGTTTGGCTCGTTGAGTTTATGAGCCGGGTCCGGGCCAGGACTGGCCAAGGACAGTGCCGCCACTGTTCGCCCGAGAGCACAGACTTAGATACTTCTTGACTTGTGATAAACAACACACAATTACAATTTTTTTTTACAAATATACAATACATTTTGTTTTTTACTCAAAATCCGATCAACGATCCTCTTCCTGTCTGGGACACATTGTGTCCAGAGTCCGTAGCATGGGGGACGGCCTTAACCCCCCGTGGAGACACAGGCACTCTGGCGAGGACACATACCTACATACTCGTGTGTGTGTGTATGTGTGGGTACCTGGAAGCCCAGGGGGGCCCGGTTGACCAGGGCTGCCTGAGAGCCCAACCTGTCCTTTGGGACCCTCCCTGCCACTGTCTCCTGCAAATGCGCACAAACACACACAAAGACAAATAGCCTTGAACAGACTGCTGAGGCGAGTGCTGTTTGCGAGAACCCTGTGAAGACCGGCACGGCACACGAGGGGGTGGGTGGCCAGCACCACGCCAGACCGCTTTTGTCTCCCCGGCGGCGATGTTTTTAACACACCACACCAGGTACCCATTCATGGCTGAGTCAGAATGCGAATCAGAATCTTTATTTTTCCTGCCGAAATCCGATGAGCTATGAAGCTGTTTTTCAAAGATGTCCAGTCGATATTGATGTTGGCCATGAGCGGTAAACGCACACACAGCATGGAGACACGTGGAGACACAAACTTAAAGTGAGAACACACAGGGACACGTGCATCGCAGGCCTCGTGGGCCCTACCTGGGAGGCCACTGATGCCCGCATCTCCTTTGGGGCCATCTGTCCCCGGAGCTCCAGGCATCCCCGGTAGGCCCGTGGACCCCTTGAGTCCAGGAGGCCCTGGCTGACCCGGCTTTCCCGACTCTCCCTGGGCGTGGGGCGGGAGGGGGCACGCACAGACACGTACACGTTCACACATCACGCACACACAAAGATCCCCTCGAGTCGTGAGCACCTACGAATGCTGGCAAAATGCACATGGAGATGGTGTGACTAAGATGTGTTAACATCCCCAGTGATGATGTTAACACACCGCACCAGGTACTTAGTTGAGGCTGAGTAAACCTAGAGGAGGCCCAGGAATGGTTCAGATGATCGCGACTGATGTTGGCCATGAGTGGAAATCAAACTCGGCTCACTGAGATCATCGCGCAGCGCGCTAACCGCTGCACCGCCGCTCCCCATTCAGTATGAATTCGAACACAAAAGATTCCCCGTAGAGCCTGAACAGACGAAAGAAGCAAGTGATGTTCGCGAGCACCTATTAAGGTCAGCACGGCACACGAGGGGGTGGGTAGGTGGCCAGCACCGCACCCGTCAATCGGTGTTGGCCGTGACTGGAAATCGAGCTCAGGTCGCACACGCAAACGCATGCACGCACGCACACACGTGTATACGCTTGCCGAGAGCAGACCAGGATCTGAAATGTGGCTGCAGAACTTCACCTGAACTCCGGTCAGCCCTGGAGCTCCTATCCCAGGCACGCCGGAGTTCCCCTTGTCTCCCTTGAGTCCCAACTGCCCCTGGCTGCCAGGCAAACCTGGCTTCCCAGGGGGACCAGGGTTCCCCACGCCCCCACTGGGTCCTGCAACGTCGCACACGCGCACACGCGCACACTAAGATCCCCCGTGCAGACTTTAACATGCTGCCGGGGCAAGTGCTGTTAGCGAGTAGCACCGATTATGAAGGCCGGCGCAGCACGTGACAGAGGTGGGTGGCCGACACCATGCCGGCTGCCTTTGTCTCCCCAGTGTCGTTGTTTAGACAAAGCACCCGATACACAATTGAGGCTGAGTTGACCTACGGGAGATTCAGGCAGCAGTTCATATATTCGTCACTGTTATCGGCCGTGAGTGGGGATGGAACTCAGGTCGCCGGGTTCATAACACAATGCGCTAACCGCTGCGCCGCCGCTCCCCACAACTTACACTTACACACACACCAGCGACCATGGCTGAATGTGCATACACTGGACATATCTGTCACCTACTGCACTATACATGCATGAGCAAAACAGGTAAAGGCCATCGAACCTCTCAATTCGCAAATCACATCACGGTTTGAGTTGTGAAGGCCTTATGAAGTGAGGTCATCAACTCGTCACGCTCGAGAATACGGTTTAATGTTGGGTAGCGTGGAAGAGGTAGGCGGAGTTGCGTGCGGGTCTGGAGGTAGTGAAGCGAGTCCGTGGGATGTTTCATCGGAGCGATCACTGTGGACCGCGCGCACATCGCAGTGGGTGGTTCAGCCTTTACCTGGGAGGCCCATCTCTCCCATGGAGCCCTTCTGGCCAGGTGTGCCTGGCTGCCCTGAGAAACCGTCAGAACCCGGGTTCCCCTTGGGCCCTGAAATAAACGCACAAGCACGTCGTACACACACACACACACACACGCACACGCACACGAACGCACACTCACATTATGAAGGACCAAAGGACTCGCGCGAGTCGCACTGGTGACTGAGACTGGCCGGGGGGTTGGCCGCAGTTCGCCCACGCGCCGTCGTGTTTAAGATCTTTTGGGGCGTTTTACAAAAACATCCCCCCGGCCATGATACGCGTCTCTCTCTGCTTCACGCGCGTTGCCTCGAGATCCTCCTGGACCGGAAGACGACAGAGAGAAGAATCTCAGATCTTCCGTTCATCACGGGGTGGTGGCGTGACTCGGTGGGAGCGCGTTCGCCGCTTCATGTCGACGTTGGAATCCGGCAGACCGCCCTGGTGATTACGGGCGGGGGGGGGGGTGTCTGAACGTGAAACAACATGCTCCGTCTGCGCTACAGTGGAGGTGAAGAGATTTCCTGACGTCATTGTGTGCCAGCGACACAGTCCCAGATTTGCCAAGGGCTAGAAATGTACACACGAATCCCTCAAGTGAGGCTGCACATTGCAATCATCGCCCCCTACTAAAGACCGACTTGCGGACCAGGTTCTGAGTCGCCTTTTGCCGCACAGGGACAGCTGCCACTGGGGGTGCTCTTTAAAAATGTGTTGAGATGAGTCGCCGATGTGAGTCGCCTATCGCGTGCGAAGTGTTCCGAGCCGCCCCGGCGACAATACGACGAGGAGACATTCAAAACACTCAGGGCACCCTGGTGCATCGCTTTGTAGACTACAGCGGGTAGTCTCCAGACCGCTACCTCTGCTCTCTCGCACCACACGCCCCCCACGCCGTTCGCTGCGTTCCCCGCAGCATCGACGTCACCGACGGTGGCAACGCGGCTCACCTGCGCTCCCGTCTGTGCCGCGGAGGCCCTCGGCGCCGGGGTTCCCCGGCAAACCCGGAGGTCCCGGTGATCCCTTCTGCCCGGCCTGACCCGAATTCCCTGTGTGACAGTAAACACACATAGCCGGACAAGGCAGAAGCAAAGACAAAGATCCCTCGTGCAGCCTCACAGGCTGTTGGGGCAAGTGCTGAAAGTGGGCACCAATTAGGGCCGACACAACACACAAGGCATGCACCAAGCCTTTGTCTCCCCAGTGGCGATGTTTACACACTGCACGAGGTACTCGTACGCAAATACACAGAATACTCCTCTAGCCACCGTACCCAGTAGTCAGGTAATGGTACAAACTCATCATCATGACCAATACCATTGGTTTCTAGTTCATTCCGTTCAGTGTAAGCCCAATTAACCGTGTCACCTGACCCAGCTTCTGAGTTAGGTGTCATGACCTTACACGAACAACCAATCAGATTTACACTAGATATTAACCATTACAAAACACAAATTAAAATATCATTCAAATGTACCCGAGCCAACAATTAGCATTGTCCACGTAACAGCGAAAATGAAAAATTCCCGAGTTAAGTTACAACTGCATAAACATTTGTCCCGATCGTCACGTGACCAGACCAAAGAATCGATCACGAACGATCTTCGTGGGTGCACCGCATGAAACGGGTGGTGACGCGACGACGGCGGCTCCGTACCCTCCTGTCCCTTCTCGCCCTTCGGGCCCTGCAGCAGCTGCATGTCGGCAATGGTCATGGGGCTCCCAGGAAGTCCTCGCTCCCCCTTGTCTCCTTTGGTGCCTCCTTGTCCCTCGTCGCCCGACGGCCCGGGCTGACCCGCGTTGCCTGCATCAGAGCGGGAAGCACGTGTTGAGCAAGCGAGAGAGGCAATCCCGACCGATGTGTCTGGCCACACGAAGGTAAAGGTGCAGCCCTGTGTTTTGTTTGCTCTCTCACGGCCACTGCTGGCGGAAGAGCCTTACCTTAACGCAATTTATATAGCGCCTTGGCCAAGGCGCTTTAAGGATAACTAAGAATGGTACGTGTGAATGCAATGGTGGAGATGCGGTGAATAGAACAGACGAGAGGAAGTAATGGGCGATTCTGCGATGCGTGAATTAGGTAAAAGCTAAATTGATGAAAGCAAATGATGATGAATGGATTGGATGAATGGGGAATGAGTGGTAGCCATGTAATGGGATTATGAAGAGAGAGCAGGAACACGGCGGTGATTATGAGGGGAGATTCAGGGGGGGTCGTGGGCTGAGCTCGGCAAGGAAAATTAATTTTGAGGGAGGAGTGGAAAGCAGTGAGCGATGATGACTGCCTCCGTTAGAGGGAGCTCTACCCTTCCACGCCGACTGGCAGGTTAATCTGAAGAGGCAGCCGTACCCACGCTCTACCCCTCCACACGTGGCCTGCCCATCGACTAACTGCGGCTGTACCCATCAACACCGCTGGGTCGATAGAGGCGGTGAGGATTTCGGAAAACTCTGCCGCCGTTGTTTCAAAGGCCGCGGCGGGAAATCTAACTGAACCGGCCACGCGCGTGCTGACCATTGAACCACGGCGGTGGTGCATGTCCGTCATTCTGTTTATAATTGAGTCATTTACCAAAAATACGAAATACAAGTGACCGAGTCAGGAACACCACCGCACAGTTCGCAATCCACACCCGGCACACACACCACCCCGTGCACACCGCCCCACACACACCGCCCCGCACACACCGCCCCACGCACACCGCCCCGCGCACACCGCCCCACACACACCACCCCACGCACACCGTCCGGTAAATCCACCGCGGACACCGCAGAACAAACAGCACCACCACCGCAGGCGCCATCGCGGACGGCACGCACAACGAGAGGGGCGAGTGTCGGTTGACTGAACTCGGGGAGCGGTCACCTGTGGGGCCAGCGAGGCCAGGAGCCCCCAGCTGCCCCACGGGGCCTTGGGGCCCAGGAGTTCCCATGACCCCCATCTCCCCCTTGGCGCCTGGGGAGAGAAGACGCACACAGAGCACGGTACACAGAGCACGGTCACGCACAGAGACGGAGACACCCCCCCCCGCACCCTCCTGCCCCCCCCTGCCCCAGATATATATATACCTGTATATTTTTAGACAGGTATACACACATATATACAGGTATCTTTACAGGTACATATAGACACTACACGCCGCTACTACACTTGTCCCTGGTTCCGTCCAGAACGACGCAGTCCGGTTCAAATCTTCACTCCCTCCACGGCATTCCTCTGCGTAAACCGGAGCCGCTGCGGGCGGCGGCTGTCCCGAACTGTGCGTGGGCTCCGTAGAAGCCACGTTGTTGTTTTTTTTGTCGTCAAAAGGTTTCCGATTGGAACCGCGGACGAAGGTGAACGTTCGTCTCAGCGTGATCACCCGCACGCCGACGGGCGAGGCGCCCCACTCACCCGAGTATCCAGGAATCCCGTCTTTCCCCGGGATGCCCATGGGACCCGGCGGCCCCATCTGGCCCGGCACGCCAGGGAAGCCCGGGCTGCCCTTGTCGCCGGGAGGCCCGGTCAGGTCGAGGCCCGGAGGTCCCGGGTCACCCTTGCTCCCAGCAATGCCAGGAGAACCTGCAATCGATCGTTATTATTGTTGTACTGTTCATGCAAATTCCTGCACGTGCAAAGGTTATATGCAAGACAAATAAATGAGAAACAATACAAAGGGGACGGTAAAAATGAGACGAAAAGTATGGTGACTTCGTATCATGACAATGCGTCCAATGTGTGATGGTGTGGTCGATGACGGTGAAGTTGATAGTATAGTTGATGATGGTGCAGTTGATGATGTCGTTAATCATGAAGTAATGAGTAACAATGGAGTTGATGATAATGATGATGATGTAAAGGATGATGGTGCCGTTGATGATGTTGTTAATCATGATGTAACGAGTGAGAATGTAGTCGATGATGATGGTGCAGCTGATGATGTGTCACATGACGATGGCGTAGCGGACGGTGTGGACGATGCGTGGAGAGGGTGACGCGGGCCGCTGACCTTCCTTGCCGGTCGGACCAGGTTGGCCGGGGAGACCAGGTGATCCGGGTTGTCCAAATCCCTTGAGGCCGGGAAGCCCCTGGTGCCCGGGGATGCCCGGAGACCCCCCTTCCCCTGTGCGCATGACAGAGCCCAGGTGGCACATCGCAAGCGTCAAAAGACAAAGATCCCCCGTGTAGTCTTAACAGGCTGTTAGGGCACTAGCTGTTAGCGAGCGGCGCCTGTGAAGGCCGCGTGAGAGCGTGAGGCAGAAGCCGATCGTATCGTATTGCCACTCGTGCTGTTGACCGCATCATACCCCTTTGCGTGATTGTCCGTGACCCCCCTTTCATAATAACTGCAACTTGTAATGCGCCAGAATGGAACAGGAGGAGGTCCAAATTTGCTGCACCGCCTTCTCCTGGCGATGGCAGGGTTACGACACGGCGATCCGCCAACCCCTCGCTGCTGCCTCCACAGCGCTGGGCCACGTGCCACGTGCAGCGTCACCCACACCGCCGCCCGGCAAACACCAGGTCACGCCACGGGGCTGGGTCGAGAGGGCCTCTTACCCCTGCTTCCGGGAACGCCGTCCATGCCAGGCCGGCCCGGCATCCCCGGTAGCCCCGGGGAGCCCTGCTCCCCCTTCGCGCCCGGCAACCCGCCCTGGCCCGGAACCCCCGGTGGTCCCCGGAGACCCGGCGCTCCGACGCCCGACTCCCCCTGCGCGTTGAAGAGACGCACGAGGGATCAGCGGCGATGGACGGAGAAGGGAAAGGAGTGGCCCTCTCGTGAACGCGGCGACATGCGATCGGCTCGTCGCGCAACCACCCGCCGCCCACCGTGGGTACGCTCGCACGGACGGCACGGGCGCCGTAGGGCCACTCCTGAGGCCGTCCGCACGGCCGTCGTTAATTTTTGTTGTCAGAGAGAGTGCAAAGGGGAGTTTAAGTAAAGCTGCAACCCAATGGACACTGGGTGCACCTTTCAAACAACACATTTCCCATCTCCAATTTTTGTATTCGTATCGTACTCTTGGCGTCGTGCAGTTAACGCCGCAGATCCGTACCCTCGGAACTGTCACGGTAAGCAGTGCATCGCTCCGATTGGTGGATGGACCGTTGAAGGAGATTAACTTCGGACATTTTTGTTAATTCCACACGCTAGCAGTGGGGGGACATACTTCCTTAGATGGTCTGCTCAAGCCGGAATCTTTTCTGGCACTGACAGCTATAGGTATTTTTCAGCCAAATTCTCATTGAAAAACCCCGACCGTCAAACTACTTTCTTTCTTGATGGCCGCACAATTACCAGCTGATTAGCCGCTGCGCATTCCACCAAACGTCATCACCGTCACTTGCCGTTCGCTATGAACTAACGAACTATTTTTATTTTACCAGGTAAGGCCCACTGAGCTACGTAGCTCTTTTTCAGAAGCGAATTGGCCACAAATGACCGCTCAACGAAGTGGATTATCACGTGGAAATCTATAGCAGCCAAATACTCTGAAAGCATGAATCTGAATGTAAAGGGGAAAATGACCTGGAGAAAAATCCACACGACCACAGGGGGAGAGACACGCAAAGTCCAAATATACAGCAGACGTCAAGGTCCGCGCATCGAACCCACGACCTCCTGTATACCAGGCGAGGTAATTAACATCTCAACACCGAGGCATCGCCGTGGCATTACACGGCCAGGCCCACACAGACTCAGCATCGCACACGCGACGCGCGCTGTGGGTTCGGGCGCAGGGCTCCGCTCCGCTCTTGTTGGCGCTCACCTTGGGTCCCGCTGGGCCCGGCTGCCCTGGGGTGCCGTCCTGTCCCGGCCTGCCCGCCGCGCCCGACCCTCCCGAAGGCCCCGGGACGCCCACCGCGCCTGCGGCACGGCCACGTGGAAAGAAACTCGGAGTCAACGGCGGGCCATGAGCAGGGGGCCACGCCGAGCCGAGCTTTGGCGTGGCGGCCGTCAAGCGTTAAGGTCGCCGCCGCCGCGTTAGGTTCAGCGCGAAATAGCGGCGCGAAGCCTGTTGTTGTGATTCGAATGCTCTGGCCAAGTGTGCTGGTTGTTGCTGGCCGACCGGCATTTTGGGGCTGCGCTCAGAAGCCGTGGTAAATAATAATAAAGACCACGGTATAAAAATCAGTTTTGCCACCACCCAAGGGTAAGGCGAATTGGGGCGACTGCCCTGGGCCCCGCGCCTTGGGGGGCCCTGAGCCTCGATGTCACAGGTGTCAGATGTAAAACTTCTGGTTTAGTTTGAAGGCATCGATCGGGGGGCCCCACACGTTGGGATTTGTCCTGGGCCCCAAGCCCCCCTACGGACGACCCCATGATCTCCGCTTGAATTCTGACGAGCACGTTGGCTACGTACGGTGCGACAGAGGTTCAACGTACACACGTACGATTTTCATTCTCGCAAAAAGAGAGGGTGGCGGCGTCAATCGTGTGGAGCGCAGGAACGGGCGACCTCACTCACCTTTCTGCCCGGTCGCCCCCGGCATACCGAACCCGGGGAAGCCGGCGTCGCCCTTCACCCCCTGCTCCCCCTGCAGTCCCGGGGTGCCGGGGATCCCCGGCATGCCTGCGGCAAACACGGACATCACGCTCGGACCGGCCGCCTCGATGCTCTCGCCCCCGTCCGGCACCGCCAGAGTCGCGTGGCTCGACGCTGGGCCTCCTGCCCGTTTTTATTTCCCCATGAGACCAAAAGGCAGAGCTCACACCCGCACCTGTACCTGGCACCTCTGCCTCCCACACCTTTTCACTGTCTTGTTTCTCGTTGCGTCACTGTCAGACTAAGATACACAAGGCAGTTTTCTTGCACGTGTACCTCACCTTTTCTAGCACCTCTTGCCGTCATGTTATATTTGCGCTGTTGTTGTTTGTTGTTGTTTGTTGTTGTTGTTACCTCGCGTGCTTCGTTCACGACCGTTAAATACTTCGTTTGTTCGTTGTGAAATGTTCCTGCAGGACCATGCTGCACTCGTTCTCCACAACGTCGATGTCTCTGTTGTTGCTGCTGTGTTCACGGTGCCAATCACCGGCTGGGACCTACCACACTACCACTGCGATTACAGGGACAATCGGGAATACATCACTTAGCTTTCCTGCACCACTATCAGGATCGATTTAGACTCTGACGCCTGCTGCTGTATATTTGGAGTTTGCTCGTCTCTCTCCCCGTGGTTGTGTGGATTTTTCTCCGGGTCATCCGTTTTTTCGAGTATTTGGCTGCTATACATTTCCACGCGATAAGCCACTTCGTTGAGCTGTCACTTGTGGGCAGGTCGCTTCTGAAAAAAATGCTATACAGCTCAGTGCGCCTTACCTGGTAAAATAAAAAATAGTTTGTTAGTAAAATGCTGGGAAACTGGCTACAAGGCATGTATATATGTTGAACTTCTTTCGTACCGGACGTAGCCAACTCTGCTAATCAGAGGTGTGGGAAAGGACAATAAACCAAAAAAAAGAAGTTCTAAAGAAATTCGTTTTTAATCATGATGATTTTAAAATGCACAGCTCCAGTGGCTTTCTAAAATCGTGAGGAAGAGCGTTCCAGACGTCCGCAGAAGCGCATCTGAAAGCGCTGTGCGATGCGGTGACCGCCGTCTTTATTTCGGAAGGCCAGCCAAAAGCGGCTGCTGCTGCTGCGGGGATGACCGACCGCAGTCCGGGCGTTGATGGTTTATGCTCCTTGACGACATCAGCACCATCCGCGTAACAAATCAAATGAACCCGACGCTCAATCGCGCAGCCGTGGAGCGACTTGGCAGAGCGGAGCTCGCCGCGGGGTTGGTGGTGGGGGGGGGGTGAGAAGCGATTACCTGGGGAGCCAGAGGGCCCCACGTCCCCAGGAGAGCCCGGTAAGCCGGGGAATCCCGGCTGGCCCAGAGTCCTGCCCGGTTCCCCCTTGCCACCTGGACACAGTGGGGAGGGGTGCGCGCAAGAGGCGGTATTTAGGATTTTTAATCCGAACTTTCAATGCCCTGCACCGAATGTTTGATCGCACGACGCTCCGACACAATGTGATGACTTCTCAGAGCTGGAATGCAGGCAAATTAAGTGCAACATTTATACTGGTAGGAACGAAGTGGACCAGACCACCAATAGATTAATGTGTCCGTCCGTCCGTCCGTCCGTCCGTCCGTCCGTCCGTCCGTCCGTCCGTCCGTCCGTCCGTGGGAAGGGTGGTGTTGAGGGTGGTGTTGGAAATGAAAGACTACGAGTCTTTAAATCTCACAGCGTTTCTTGTCAAAACAAACACTTTTAATTAACGTTACACTAGAATACAGTAATTTTTTCTTTAACTCCTCTATACCCGGTCGATATCTCTGTACCGGTACTAAGTATTATTCCTACCAGCCCACCCCGCAGGGGCCTGTTAGAACACGGCGTGGGGGAGGGGGCATGAGGTTTGTTCAGCCATCGGTGGCCAGGTTCAGATCGTCAACTCAGGACACTTGGGGGCCCAGTTCAATCACTCGCGGTGGAATACGGATTCACATCCATGATTCACATCCAGGATTCACACTCAGGATTCACATCCATGATTCACACTCAGAATTCACACTCAGGATTCACATCCATGATTCACACTCAGAATTCACACTCAGAATTCACACTCAGGATTCACATCCATGATTCACACTCAGAATTCACACTCAGAATTCACACTCAGGATTCACATCCATGATTCACACTCAGAATTCACACTCAGAATTCACACTCAGGATTCACATCCATGATTCACACTCAGAATTCACACTCAGGATTCACATCCATGATTCACACTCAGAATTCACACTCAGGGTCTCAGGGGTGTTGGCTCAGAGTCCCCCGAGACACCCAACCACCTCATTCACGATGGATTTTTATTCAGTTTTATTTTTGTTTGCCCAATTCTATTCCTGATTGTGCTACAATAATAATGCAATCTATACCGGGGGCAAGGTATTTCACGGACATAAATGAGCATGACTCTGAGGTGCGGGAGCCAAGCTTGGCGTCGCTTGAAAGCCAGGAGATAGAGGTGGGGCCTTGAAGTGGCTCTCAGTAATGTCGGTGTGGATTGAACGCTGCTGCTGCTGTGCATGTGCAGCAGCAGCAGTGAGGACGATGATGACGACGATGATGATGATGACGATGACGACGATGACGATGATGATGACGATGATGACGATGATGACGATGACGACGATGATGATGACGACGATGATGATGATGGCGACGATGATGATGATGACGACGACGACGATAACGATGATGATGGCCGCGTTCCAGACGGCGGGGGCTGCCGCGGAGAGATGGAGGTTCGGTGTCGTGTCATGAGATGAGGCATCCATTCCATCCTGTGCAAGCCTCCATCTTTTTGAGAATCTACCAATTGTGAGCCGCTTGCTCTACCTCTGAGTCACCTGTGTGTGTCAGTGTGTGTTAGTGAGTGTCAGTGTTAAGCGTGTGCCAGCGTGTGTTAATAAGACACACGACGACACTCACCGGTCGGTCCCTCCATCCCGGCCCGCCCAGGAATTCCGTCGGTTCCCTTCTGCCCTGGAAGCCCCGGGGGCCCGAACCCTGGAGATCCTGGGGGGCCGCGCTCTCCGGGTGTCCCCGGCATCCCCGCGCCGCCCGGGGGGCCCTGCTCTCCCTTGAATCCGAACGGTGCCTGTGCGGCGACAGGGGCGGCCACACGAGCGACGATGAGACACTGGGATCGCCTGTCATCGCGTAAGGTCTGGGACTGATGTCCGTAGATCGGCGGGCGGTGGGGTAAAGTGTGGGTACTCGCATCTGGCCAGCTTGGAAAATAAAGCTGGCGACCTTTGTCGCCAGCGGCAGAAGCAAGAAACTGCAGGGCCGAGCCTACACCTGTTCACGTAGATCTGGGATTGTAAAACGTTGACTGAGGTTGTCTCGGTAGGAACCCAACTGTTAGGTCCTCCAGCGCAGCAAGAGGTCACACCTTGGCCACCGAATATATTGCTGGTAAAAGGCCTTTTGCGCTTGACTGCAACGTTTCAGGAACACGTTGGCTCGGAGAAGCAACAGAGCTGGACTGCGTAACGTGGGATGTCGCGCGACAACGAACTCAAAGCAACGAAGTCACACGCAGGAAACGTATCGGGTGCTCACATCAGTGGGCGCTGCGTGATTGGCATGGGCCCTGGCACAGGGAATTATTAAATGGGGCCCCCTGTCAAATTTCGCCTCCCCCCCCCTCGTTCGTAGCCAGGTGCCTAGGCACCTCTGGCTTGTGGGCCCAGGTGCAGTTGCACCGCCTGCACACTCGAGAGCTACGCCACTGCCCCTGACCCCCTCCTATTAAGGGCCCCGCTGAATCGCATCTCACCACCCCTGCTTCCAGCATGATGAGCCAGTTTGTTGAGCTATCATATGTGGCAGGATGGAGGTGGTTTCGTTGTATTTGTATATTTTTTGGGTGATTAGTTTGCCTTTCCTGCACTTTGCAATAATGTCGTGTCTTTGTAAAAAAAAGAGCTTGATAGCTCGTGGGATTCCGGCAGCATAAAAACATATTCTGACCAATGTTACAATGTTGGAGCACGTGACGACGAGCGTCGGGACACGTGGCGAAGGGTGCAGAGTTTTAGCGGCGCCAAAAACTTTTATGGAAACCAAACGCTGGACCGCGAGGTAGGTTATAGTCCCTGCCAGTTGCTGGAAAGGTTCTGCGTTCAACTGCGGAGAATTTGATTCAGTAGCTTGTTATTCTTCTTCCACCCCAGTAGCATTCATGTTTGCCCTTTGTACTCACTTCACTCACTCACCTACCCACTCACTCACTCACTTACCCACCCACTCACTCACTCACTCACCCACCCACCTACTCACTTCACTCACTCACCCATCCACTCACTTCACTCACCCACCCACTCACTCATTCACTCACTTCACTCACCCACCCAATAATTTCACTCACTCACTCACCCACCCACCTACTCACTTCACTCACTCACCCACCCACTCACTCAATAACTTCACTCACTCACTTACCTACCCACTCACCCACCCACCTACTCACTTCACTCACTCACCCACCCACTCACTCACTAACTTCACTCACTCACCCACCCACCCACCCACTCACCGGGTCCCCCTTTGGGCCTGGGCTTCCAGGCTGCCCGTCGAGGCCTGGGAGGCCGCTGGCCCCCGGACTCCCGGGCACCCCCGACGAGCCGGGCTCACCCTTGTCCCCGGCGAGCCCCTCGAGGGAGGACGCCTCCCCCGGCTCCCCTTTCTCACCGGAGTCCCCAGGGCGGCCCGGCACCCCTGGGCTGCCCTGATGGGGGAAGAGCAGAAGGGAGGGGGAGATGATTTAGTCAGTGACAAATCTGTCCTACGACTGACTCTTTCCCTTTTATCATCATCTTCATCATCAGCTTTGGGCGATTACATGGCACGGCGGTGGCACGCCTGTGCCCTTGTCATAGAAGTTTGTGGTTCGAATCCAGCAAGCCATCCTGGTTATAACTGCGGCGCGTGTTCACTGTAAAACACGTGCCGCATACTTCACAGTGGGTTTTCAAGATCCCATGATGTAATTTCGAAGAAATGTAGGGCATGGCCCAAATTTGAAAAATAATTAGCAAATTACTGAATTGGCCAACACATAGCAATTTCCGGCCCCTACTTTGAAAACTTGACAGGATCCTCCTAAAAAATGGTTTTGAATGATAATGTCCACCGCTGGATGTTCATTCCCTCCTTCGGCTGCCATGACAACTAAAGGATCCTTTGCATTCAACTATATTCAGCGTCTTTTTTTCTGTCCAGTTCTCTGGTCACAAACATCCATGATCGAATGCCAAAGTCGACCTCTCCGCCACTTTACCAAAGTGGTAACAATGATAAGGTAACGACGGGGAGATGTGGCAGGGCCTTACCGAAGGTCCCTGTAAGCCGGGAGAGCCAGGGAAGCCGCCATCGCCCTTAGGCCCACTGCCGCCCGGAATCCCTGCACAGCAGAGACGTGAGCATGAGAAGAGGCACCCGTGTTTGTGATGAACGGCAACTCAACGGGCTGCCGGATCTGTTGCCGGAAGGTTGCCCCTCACCGCCAGCCGCCCCGCTGTGCGATACCTCGCGTTATAATATCAGCCCATCGATGCAGGTTGTAAGCATCAGCCGGCACCACTTCGCCGACCTCGACTACGCCGATGACGCAGGCCTTGTTTTCTTGAGAAGCCTGACACATTCACACTACTCCTCCACAACACTGCAAGAAGAAAGGGATTAAATGTATCGTGGCAGATCACAAAAGTTCAGAGAACTTTGGGCTCCAGGGCTCCAGAAGCACCCTGCATAATGAATGAAGGAATGAACGGCGCAGGTACGAGAAGCCGGGAATTGTCTCCAACTGGGAGAATACAACACGTGCCGCCTGCTGCACGCTAGACGTCAACAGTGACCTCTCCACTCCACCAAAGTGGTTCACTGCAAGTCCTTCAAAAACCCGCTCCGCTAACAAGTCTCTCAACCCCCTTCCCACAAACACCCACATTGTGCACATTGTCACTGTTAACTGAATCGCGGTTAAGTTCGAGGAGTCGGGTCTTCATCTTGCTGTAAAAATTGTGGGCTTTTTTGTCAAAATGACAAACAAAATGCGTCGATCCGCCTCTTTCGTACTCAAACGACGAAGCTTTGAAACTCGCTCCCCACCCCTTGTTGCGATTGCAATTTGCAGATTTCTCCAAAAATAAAATCAACCTACGACTTGCCACTGATGGATCTGCCCTGCTGACATCGATTCGGCCGACTCGGCCGGGTTTGGAACCTTTGACGGGCGCTTCCAATAGACAAAGTCTATTGATGTTGATGGCAAAAAGTGGATGCAACCGGGAGCGTCTGATGGACAGTTCCAGAGTAATATCATGGACGGAGAGAAACGGCAGGAAGGCCAGGACCGATCGCTGACAACTTTGAGAAGGGACATCGCACAGGGAGGGATGCAAGATCGCGCGCCTTGTACACACGTGACGCGGTTAACGAGTCGATAGTCATCTCACGGCCGCACCACAGTATCGATCATCCTCCTGCTGTATCTACACTCAGGGGGGAGGGGGGGACTCAATTAGTCCACTCACCTTTCACCTACCAAGGACATCGCCGGCACGCCTGACTTGACCACCTGGTGCACTGTGAATGGTTTTGATTCCCGGACATAGATTCGTGAATGTGGTGCTGTGTCGGGGCTGCGTCGTGGTGCCATCATCTCACCTGGCTGACCGGGGGCCCCCGGTGGTCCTTGAGGTCCCGGCACGCCCGGCAAAGTCCTCACCGGCACTTGACCGCACGACCGGCACGTGTCCCCCTTGTCTCCTGCGCAGGCAGCATCCACCGCGTCGACAGTCAGTTCACTCATTCGATGAACGAACGAATTATTGAACCGTGAGTTCTCTCGTTCAATGTTCGGCTGAAGGTGCCACTATAATGTTTTAATTGACACCTGGGAAACTGCACGAGGACACTTGGGTACTACAGTGAAACGCCTGTTACCCACCCTCCTATCGTACACTCTTCCTATCATCCATACACCCATACCGATCCACGGATAATCATATGATGCCATGTGTAAACATCGCCACTGGAGAGAAAGAAAGAAGGCAGTCAGGCGTGGTGCTGGCCACCCACCCTGAGCCAGCCTTCATAGATGCTTGCCATCAGCACTTGCCCCAATGGTCTGTAAAGACTAGACAGGGAAAACTTTTTTTTGACGTCATGAGTTTACTTTAGAATTCAAGGTGAGACCTGGTGTGACGCCACAAACGCGGTGAGGCCGCGCGTACCTTTGGTGCCGGCGATGCCAGGAGTGCCAGGAAGCCCCGCTTGTCCCGGAGGCCCAGGGATACCTCTGCCAGTGCTGCCAAAGTCCAGGGGCACCGTAGCTGTGGATTACGGGATGAGGGAAAGGTCACGTGCGAGCGGTGGGTGCAGTGGTTAGCGCACTGCACCACGATTTGTCGGATTTAATACAAATGTCAGGAACACATCCTGAGTACAAACACGCGTGTTGTACCCATGCACATGCGTGATGTACATATGCACACGGGCGCTCTCTTTCTCTTCTGCCGGCAGCAATGCCCACGTCACTGGCAGCAGTGCTGCTCTACGTACCAGGAGGCCCGGGTGGTCCGGGGATACCCGGATTGCCGGGGCGACCTGGCTGTCCATCCGCTCCCCTGGCTCCAGGGATGATGGGGCCTGGGTCTCCTGGAAGGCCTTTGTCCCCTCTAGTCCCGGGCTGGCCTGGGATGCCTGGAGAGCCCTTGGACGATGGGCCTGTAGGAGCGCCACGGCCATCGACTCAAACGCCATCCACGAATACAACATCCCACCGATCATCTCGTCATCCCAGCAGTCATCTCGTCATCACATCAGTCATCTCGTCATCACATCAGTCATCTCGTCATCACATCAGCCATCTCATCATCACATCAGTCATCTCGTCATCACATCAGTCATCTCATCATCACATCATCACATCAGTCATCTCGTCTTCTGGCTCGAAAGAAAGCTGCCTCTGGTGTGGGCCAATCAGTTTGAAAGACAATGCATATATTAGCAGAGTATGTTTTTTGTTGCATTCTGACCACAAGTATTGTGGTTAATGCAAAAAAAATATTTCTTGTAGAAGGTTTTAGTTTGGTGTTTTAACATCTTAACACTTGTTTTGTTGCCAGAAAAAAGGGGAAAACCTATTCCCATATCGTCATCCCATTCGTCATCTCATCATCCCATCAGTCATCTCGTCACCACATCAGTCATCTTGTCATCTGCTCCTGCCTACATGACCTGAATCTGCGCAATCAGATCTCGAAAGCCAATCAGTGTTGAGCCTGGTGAGGTCTCTAGATGGGCTGTGAGGTGGCCAGGAAACAGACGGCAGCACAGAAACTCAATTCTCTGTGTATATCTTCTCCAAGCACACCGGCTTTCTCCCACACTCAAAGCACTCCTTTAATTATGAGATCAAGGCCACGTGACTTCCTTACCCGGAGGTCCAGGCGTGCCCTGGAGACCGTGGGGACCTGCAGGTTAGAGCAGAGTGTGACGTGACAAACCAACAGCGGACACGTTCACACAACCTCTACACAGCGATACTTACACACAAACTCTACACAGCGATACTTACACACAGCATTAAGCTAACAATTGTCTAAGTTCTGCGGCCCTTAATATGTTCAGGTATTATCGGTCAATTTAAGGGAGAGAGGGGGGGGGCGATGTTGCTTTGCGGCTTCACCCGATTCGGTAATTTGCGAGAGAAAAAAGCACGGCTTATTTGGATCACGACGCCGGATACAAGGGGGTTGCGCCTTTAGTCACGAGATCCACTGCAAGGCGGACAGAGCGTCGTTTTTTTTGGTGAATGTGGCACATTAGGAATGGACCACTCTTTTAATAAGTCCTCATGTGCTGTGCAGTACATCAATGCACGTGTGTACATCAGCATGTGATGACCGATTTGGGCCTGTGGGGGGGGGGGGGGCTGGCAGGGTTAAAGATTAACCGGACGTGTACACCAGCCACGTGGTTAATGGCGACTCGGTGAAGATTGCTGTGTGTGACACACGTGCTGTTGCATTCTACAGATTAACCACAATAAATGTGTTTGCCCTCGATTTGGAGCACCTGCCCAACGTCCTTTATTTCGAGTGTGCAACATGAAGACACACTCCGCGGCGTTAACCGGGGCGGCCACCGAGCTCGTAAACCCGCGGTGGACCTCTGCGGCGAAACACGGTAAACCGCTCGGCCGTTTAACCGCTTACCGGGAAACCCGCGCTCCCCTTTGTCCCCGGGGGGTCCCGGGAATCCGATGTCCCCTTTCTGGGCGGTGGCGACGTCACTGCTGCCGGTGACTGAGACCACCTGCGGAAGCGGGCCACAGACGGGGAGCGCTTCGTTCTCACAGCCGCGGGAACTGCGAGCGCGGAAGCTCGGGTCCAAGCTTCGCAGCCACCTTCGGCTCGTGCGACTTTTTCATTTATGTTTCGTCTCCTTTTCCCAGAGCAGGCAGTGCAGAAACATCGATTGTTATCCAGTCATTTCAGCTCAGTGTCTATGCTCCCCTCGCTCCGCCAACCCTCACTGACCAACCAACGTGGTGAAGTGCGGTCTAATAACCTTACCCTAACTTGTATTGTGTGAGGAGGCCCTCACCCAGCAGTGGATTGACATAACGGCTGTACGTGTGCATTGTGACCCCCCCAAATTATATTCCGATCGTGTTGTTGGCGTCAAGAGGGTCAGATGGCATTCCAAATTGAAACATTTGTGCCAGAGAATGGCCTCGGATGCCAATATCACACAGCTGCTTTTGAAGCCTCTCCCATGGGCCTGTTCATTCCAAAGGCCCCCTTGAGCAGCGGCCTGCAATGCCATTCGCTTGTATAATTAAATATCCTGACTGGGTTTCAGGCTTTGGGTTCTCCTCTGGATGTGAGATAAAACGGTAGCAAAAGATCGCTCAGTAAACACGATGGGCTTCGTTGGGCGCAGGAGTCAGCAAACCCATCTCGTGCTGTGAAGGAGGCCCACATGGTAATGAGCCAAAAAAAAGATGTTTAAATATTGACATGTAAACGTGGACTTCTATGCTTGCTTCATTATATATTCAAAAATTTACTTTTTCGCTGTTCATTCAACTTTACATCACCGCATAGCCGACCGTCACATATCCGCCCCGACCAATTAACCGCTTACAACCAGACAGTGCCGGATTATCCTAGTAGCAACACAAGTAGCTACAAATGCTATGGGCCCCGCACTTTCAAGGTCCCCGCGCTAAATTATTTCAAGCTATCAATTCCGGTTCAGTGATTCTGCACTTGCTCTATTACTATAGTACTATACCGCCTTCGACTTTTGTGAACGACTGGGTGTTTAAGGTTAGCGATTTGTTGCATTATCTGGCCGTGTAGCAAATGAAAAAATACAATTACTTTACTGTGCAAGTAGAAAATGTGTGTGTTTTAATATTTACGTGTTTTTTTATTTATTTAGGGCCCCTTTATAACATATACTACAGGCCCTGCACTCGCTTCATCCGGCACTGCAACCAGTGGAGTATTTCGTGCACGGTGGGCGTAACGGGCGGTGTAACCGTGATCGTCTGTGGAGGTTCACGTAGCTGTCCTTGCTTACGCGGCGTTGGGCTTCACCTTAGCAGTGGACTTTCAGCCTGCGGTGCGTCACACATCTGGAGCAGTCTTCCTGTCTGCCCATTGTACAGCGTAAGAGAAATCGACCGCCCTGTGTGTGTGTTTATACGGGTTAGCTGGGGAGAGTCACTCACTTTTCCCGGAGGCCCTGCGATGCCAGCATCTCCCTTCAGACCCTAGAGTAACACACACGCACAGTTTAGGCAATGCACGTCCGTGTTTAGCAAACGAGATTTTAACAAAATTACGTATATGATATCCTTCGCCCGGAGAAAGCCCACAGGTGTGAGGGGGCAACGCTCTATACCATACTCGATGTGGAGACCACATTTGCTGTACCGCATGTTCCTCGTGAGTCAGGGTGAGGCTCTTCGATGCCCACGGCAAGGGAGTTTCACATCTGCGTGTGATCCACCAACCTTCGATGCTTCCACAGTGCGGGACTGCAGGCCACGTGCATAGCCACCGCCGCCCGGCGAAATGTGTGAGTGCGATGTGCGGTCAATACCTTTTCGCCATCCAGGCCGTCAATGCCGGGAATCCCTGGGATACCAGGCTCTCCCTGCATGCCACACGAAGACAAAGATCCCCCTTGTAGCGTTCGACAAACTGTTGGGGCAAGTGCTGTAAGAGAGCACCTATGAAGGCCGGCACGGCACACGAAGAGGCGGTTGGCCAGCACCAGCCACATTTGTCACCTGCGCACTGCACCAGGCACTCGCTCGAGGCTGAGTCGACCTAGGGGAGGCCCAGGACCGGTTCAGATATTCATTTCTGATATTGCTCGTGAGCGGGAATTGAACTTGGCTCTCCAGGTTAGTAGCGCCGTGCTCTAACTGGAACGCATGCAAACACGTGCACACGTACATAAACAAGAGGCAAAGGTGCAGCGCTGCAACTGCTCGCCTACGCCATTGCTGGTGAAGGTGCACTCACATCGATTCCTGGCAGTCCTGAATCCCCATCCTTTCCTGGCTTCCCCTGATCAACGGGGGATGGGAGGAGAGGACAAACACGGTTAAGAATGAGGGAAACAACTTCAGTGAGCAGAATTTGCACAGTAATATTTATCAGCCCTGTGTCAGCCTGCCGCATGGAAGTCGCTTAGCGCAGCCAGCGAGTGGTGAGGCAGTGGCCACCAGCTTCACGAGCAGAAGACGAGGGATGTGACTCCAGACCGTGGGATCATATCGCATCAACCTGCCCACTGAGGGCCTGTTGTTGGAGCCACTTAATTTCTCCACTTGGCATCGCAGGAAGCCACCGGAGTGGATCGACAAACGAGACGACGTCCAATTGTCAGCCACTCCCGTCACGACAGAAGAATGCCCAGCGTAACGGAGGGCGGCACGATCGAAATCACGTCGTTGACATGAACGAAATAATCTTCACAAAACGGGACTCTCACCCTCTTGCCAGCTTCTCCAAAGTCACCTTTCTCTCCCTTCTGACCAAAGCCCGGTCGTCCCTGTGCAAAGCAGATGGCATTCGTCATGCAGAGGTACTCAGCAACAGCAGCGTATATCCACGTTATACCGACAGTACACATACCCAGGAACACACGCGTAGTATGTTATGTATACCAGGAATCCTCTACTTACGAACTTTCAACTTACGTACTTTCAGAGATATGAACAAACCTGTCCTTATGTCGATTTGCCTGTTCGGACCGAGAATCGTAAGTTCGACTGCCGCACAATAGATGGTGGTGCTGGCATCTACATCTGCAGAACATGAAGAACCCTTTACCGAAAGAACCAAGAAGATGAACCCTTCACATCTACAAGAGATGATACAACTTTTAAAGCCATTCACTGTGTTTAGTGTACACGCCGTACAACGTGCTTGGAATCGACAGGAGTAAAGTTGGACTTACGAACAAATCGACTTACGAACAGACCTCTGGAACCTAACGCGTTGGTAAGTAGAGGAGTCCCTGTATTGAACTTCTTTCACATCGTACGTAGGCAACTGTGCTCATCCGAGATGTCAACCGTATGTCTATAGGATAGGGCACACGTGTCCCGAACATGTACACGCAACAAACACTCGTGTATCCTTTACAGACTTTTGGGGTGAAGTTCTGTTAGCGAGCACCTATGTGGGCCGCCACGGCACATGAGGGGGTGGGTGGCCAGCACCACACCCGGCCGCCTTTGTCTCCCCAGTGGCCATGTTTTGCACACCGCACCAAGTATTCGTTTGAGGCTAAGTCGACCTAGGCGAGGCCCAGGACACGCACTGCACACACGCACGTGGAGCACATGCGGTACACACAGTACGCACGAGGTGCACACCTAGAACACGCGCAGTACACGGGGCACAGCACACCGCACACATACGAAGTGCTCACTTAAAGCGCCCAGAGCACGCACGCACACACAGAATATGTAAGTATATGTTAAGTCGTTTTTTTTGTATGTGCAGCACTGAGTCCGTATTGTGAACGGCGCAGTATGAATGACGATGGTGGTGATCACAATAATGATTTATTTACCCAGGTAAGCCACGCTAAGTCTGAAGACTATTTTTCAGCATGGTCCTGAGTTTGGATATTTGACCAGATACCAGTTCCAGGTCATGTTTAGCGATGGGAGGGAACCACAGAACACGGAGGAATCCCACGCGGAACAAGGGGGAGGAACATCCAAACTCCACACAAAGAGGCACCTGAGTCTGGAATCGAACCCAGGCCCTTCTTGCTGCGAGACGGGAGGGGGTGGGTGCATGGTGGGGTGGTGCCGGGCGCGGTGTTGGCCACCCACCCCCTCGTGTGCCGTGCACTTTCCCCGACAGTCTGTGCAGGCTATACGAGGGATCTTTGTGTCAGTGTGGAGCCGCACGTGAACATCTGCAGCCGAGTCGCAACAACGCGGTCTCTCACCGGGGGCCCGGGTTGACCGTCGAGGCCTGGTTTGCCTGGCTCGCCCACGTCACCCTGTGTGGCAAACACGCGCATTCACACGCGTACACACGCACACACACGCACGCACACACACACGCACACACACACGCGCACACCACACGCACACAGCATGCACACACGCACACACGCACACACACACGCACACGCGCACACACGCACACACACACACGCACACACACATGCACACACACACGCACACACATGCACACACACGCACACACACACACGCACACACGCACACACACATGCACACACACGCACACACGCGCACACACGCACACACACACGCGCACACACACGCGCACACACACACGCGCACACACACACGCGCACACACACATGCACACACACGCACACACGCACACGATCACACACACGCGCACACGCACACGAGCACACACACGCACACGCGCACACACACACGCACACGTGCACATCATCAACGTCGTCTCTCCCAAAGGTTGGCAGCTCGGTGTGCAGCAAGCATCTTTCCCTTCCTCGCCGCTTTCCGCCAGTCTCGCTGCAGTCGTTGACCCACGTCCCGGCCGACGTGCATCTGGCCATCGGCCCATCGCATCCTCGGTCTTCCTCTTCTCTCGCGAGCGCCCGTGTACGGTACCGCACGGTGACCGTCCGTTGCAATACGGCGCTCGGTCCATGGGCTGCGCCGCTTATTCACTGCGATCGAGAACCCTGCGCAGCTCTCTTATTTTCTGACCCGCGACCCCGACACGACCCATGACTGTCTGACCCCACCTGACCTCACATGACCCCACCTGACCCCACCGGACCCCACCTGACCCCACATGACCCCACCGGACCCGCAACCCGCTTCTGCACTACCGCCGTGGCCGTGCCCTGACCCACTTTCATTCGATCAGCAACCCGATATTTTTCACTATTTTTGTATTTGTCTGGATGCTGTGTGGTTCTCGCAGCATCGAAGCACAAACTTGCATTACACATATCAAAAAAGTGCTCTGCTCCGAAATACGAATTCTGCTGCCAAACGTTTAACCCCACGTGGCATGCACTACTTACTCTGCTCAGGATACTTTGTAGCATTGAGCGTAAGCATTGTTTAAAACGCAAATTTTCGTGAAAAAGCACCTGTATTGAGTTGTTCCAGTGAAATTCCGACTATACCTTTCGCACTATTATCCTCCACACGGCAACACTTGTACGTATGCATGTTGAATTTCGTTTGCACGCTACGTAGCCAACCATGCTAATCGGAGGTGTGGGGTAAGGACAACAAACTAAATAGAAAAAAGCAGTTCTAAAGGTCCAGTGGCTTCCTAATATCAGAAGGAAGAGCGTTCCAGACGACCAGCAGAAGTGCACCTGAAAGTGCGCGATGCGGTGACCATCTTTGTTCGATGGCCAGCCAATAACCGCTGCCGCGAGGATGACCGGAGTTTGCGTGGCGATGGTTTATGCTCATCGGAAGACTCATGAACAAAAAAACTTCAGTACAAAACTTCAGTGCAATTCAGCGTACAGGCCTAAGCCTCCTCTCTGACTTCTCTGCCACTCCGACCGTGCGCTCCCCTCGGCTCGGAGCGCGAGCGAGACGGAGAGTGAGTACGCATTCAGAGACTCCGCTGGCCACGCCGTCCAGAACCGGCGCGGAACGTAGCGCCGCACAATGTCTAGAAAGCTCTCATTGGCAGTTCGGCCCCCGGGGACGCCTCTCTCTGTCACTTCCACGGGAACCTCTACGCCCGCGGGGTCTCGCCAACGATGAACGTGGCCCCACCTCAGCCTAAACCACTTTACAGGTGACCTGCAGTGACCCGCAGTGACCCGACTGCGATGCAGGACTCTGCTATGGTAAGCACTGTGAGAAAATCCATTTAGGAAATATATTTTTTGTGAAACAAATAATTATTTTGGCGGCGCTGCTGCGTCGGCAGTGGCGGCCAAGCACATTTAGAACAAACAAAAAACAACTCAACACATTCGTCAATAACACTGTGGCCTTAAAATAAAAACATATATATGTAATAGGCGATGTTTTGGGCAATCGCCCTTCTTCATAGCACGTGAATCCACGTTTTTGTGAAGGTGATTAAGGTGCCCAGCCAAGGCGACGCTTACCGTCTGCCCCTTCTGGAAGCCGTCGGTGATGTCGACGATGCCCTGCTGCTCACGGATGTGGCCGGGAGGCCCTGGCGGACCCTGCAGCCCTGACTCCCCCTGCGCGCACACAATAAAGATCCCCCGTACGGCCTTTACAGAATGTTGTGGCAAGTGCTGTTAGCGAGCACCTATGAAAGCCGGGGGTGGATGTGCCCAGAAATACACCCGGCCGCTTCTGTCTCCTCAGCGCTGACGATGGCAGGGACTCCCGGTAGGCCTATCTCTCACTGCGCTCGTTGAGCCGCTCACCTCCACCTGCTTCTCAACCCTCACAATGCACAACCCCAACGCTTGGCGCGGTTACGGGTGAGTGGCAGGTGTACGTACGGAAAAGCGTCAGACTCACCTTATCTCCTTTGGGGCCTTGGAAGTTGAGTCCCATGTGTCCCTGTAGGCCGACAGAGACACGCAGAGTTAATGCTGGGTCGGTGGGTGCGGAGGGGTGGGACGGTGGGTGGGTGGACGAGTTGGGTGCCGTGACACCGTTACGGCAGCTGTGTTTAATGCCCTCCACTGAGATGGGTCACGGAGAACCTGGTTGTGCAGGATGTGAACTCACCTTGGGTCCTGGAGGCCCAGGCTGGCCTGACGGTCCCTGGAAAAAGCAAAAATAATAGCAAAACAGAAAATAAACGGAGGGTTTTCACAGCTCCAAAGCTCTGATTGTGGCGGTGAGGATAACATTTTATTTTCTCCCTTTTGCATTGAGATAAATTATTTCACTGGCCTGGTTTTGTTTATTAGTCGATGCCACAACTATAAACAAATAAAATCTCAATTTGACGAATTCTAGCACGAGGTTATCACCAAAGCACTATGTTCCCCAGGCAAGTGCAGTCCGTGGTGGTTTTAGAGTCGAGGGCGGTAATTTGTGAGTAGTCTTCAAATGCGGAAAACTTGAACGGTGAAGCCGGCAAACATAACGGCCTATTCTTTTTCACGTAACGTCAAGGGATCTTTAACATCGACGGCCTGTATCTTCGGTTAACACTCCCGCAGTATTATGCAGGGTGGCCGCTGGGCTCAAACCACAAACCTCTGCAACAAAGCAGCAAACCTCGGCATCGTCTCTGCGGTTTGAATGAAAAAGTTAATTACGCGAAACAGCTAAAATCAAGCGATGAAACCTGCGATTTTTGTCAAAAGATATTAGCGTAACCAAGATATTAGATATTTGTTGTCATTCCTCCACACCTCTGATTAGCACGGTTGGCTGCGTACGGTGCGAAAGAAGTTAAACGTATGATAATTGGTTTTTTACCCTTTTATCTGGCAACAAAACTGACACCTTTTTTTACACGGAGTCATGTTTGCATAGACCACAATACCTGCAGTCGTAATGCAAAAAAAAACATAACTATGATAATGTATGCACTGTCCTTGAAGTTGATTGGTCCACACCCGAGACAGCTTTCCTTAGAGCCTAGTCTCACATGGTGTTGGACCAGATGACGCCAAAAGTTCAACGTAAATACAGTAACATACATTTGCCGTACAGAGCCACCTTACACTCAAACTGTTCTGAGCATCGTCAGACAGCGAGCTCAGGAATCGAGCTGAAAAAAACCCGCGTTCTAAATTCACCGCAACTTATAATTATTTCGTGTTGTTATTATGCATTCCACAGCCGTGCTATTTCACGTAAATTAATTACGTAACAAATGTATTGCTGGCTTATATCATACATGCTTACGAACGTACGTTCCTCCGATGTAATTCACGGTCACAAATTCAATTAAAGAATCGATTATTATTATTATTTTCAAGAGGGTACGAGCAGGTCCACGTGTATAGACCCAGCGTTTGCATGACCTGATCACACACGGCACGTATACTGCATTGATATGAATCGATTCATGCAGGCACGACGTGATTGCTGGTATTGTGAGCATCAGAGTGAACGTGAATCCACGTACTGGAAATCCGGGAGGGCCTGGGGGCCCGATGGGGCCTGGCAGCCCTGCACCTCCAGGATAGCCCTGAGAAGAAAGAGTGACCCAGAGGAGAAGAGGGGCACGTTGTGGAGACACGGAGACAGAGAGGAGAGAGATTAGAGAGTACGGCCGCCACAGAGAGAAGCAAAGACAGAGAGAGAGCGGTGTGGAGAGAAATACATCATGTTATACTGGTAGGAACCGCCAGGTTACATCAGCCCACAGGGGATTATTGTGTCCGTCGTGCATCCAAGAATGGGAGGGGTGGGGCTGGGTGGAGAGGGGAGGGTGGGGAGGGGCTGGGTGGGGAGGGAGGGGCTGGGTGGGGAGGGGCTGGGTGGGGAGGGGAGGGTGGGGAGGGGCTGGGTGGGGAGGGTGGGGAGGGGCTGGGTGGGGAGGGTGGGGCTGGGTGGGGAGGGGCTGGTTACCCCGTGGTGCCCTTATAAAACTCAACGTTTAACCTACTCACGCCGGCTTGTGCCCACCCTCACAGTCGGGCATATTTGCGGAATACACCACGCCGCCGTTAACCCTGGCCATTGACCGAGCAACCCAACGTTCCTACCAGCTCCCTTCGCAGGAATGTGTTTATTATGAGTGTTTACCCAGGATAGCCTCACTGAATCTCAGTGCTGTTTTTCACGAGGGTTGTGCCAGGTGTGTTATGCAGCTGGGGGTGATGCTGCTGTGTGTGTGTGTGATACCAAGCCAGTAGTCTGCAGGTCGTTTTTCAGCACTGGCATGTTTTGACTGAAAACAGTGACATTGGGAGGTTTTTTTTTAGCTCTGCAAGAAACCAGAGAACCTGGAGGAAGCCAACACAGAACGGGGTGGAGGAACATACAAATTCCACACACAGAGAGGCACCTGATTCTGGAATCGAACCCAGGTCCTTCTTACTGTGAGGCACGAGGGTGACCGCTACAACCACACTGCCGTAGACGAGGTTGGTTTAATTTGAGCTCAGTGCAAGTTGCCTTCACGAGTATACCAAGTGAGGTACATGAGGTTAGCGTCGCCACCTCCGAGGTACGAGAGCTGGATAGCTCAATGGGCTTTGCTCGGGTAATGAACGTTTGACTTATGATTGCCCGATAACACCTTTATATATAGAGGATCGCAGAGCTTTAAAGAGGTGGAGGGGGATAGGGGGTATTTGGCATCAGCTCAGCTCGTGGCTGCCTTTCCTCGTGGTCCCGCCTGTCATCTCGTCCTCTTTCTTCCAGAGCGAGTGAACGCCGTGCGGTGCCAGCACGTTACGAGTTGCAATTATTCAACTGCACACGAAAAAATTAACTCCGCCATCCGCCACGGGGTGTCTCTGTTGAACAATTGTGGGCGGGTTTCCTCGAGAGCTGGGATTTCCACCCCCTCTGAAATGAAATATATTAACCAGACAGAATCCAAGGCTGATATAGGATTTCTGACGGTTCGATAGGGCCCGAACTACAAATCATTTAAACAAATATATTTTAAGCTCAGAACTGAGCCAGCTTTGCATGGGGTTCGATGTCTGCGTTGCTGTGATGCATGGCAAAGTGTGAGTGTGTGCGTGAATGTTGAGCCTCACGGCGTTTCCTGGGAGGCCTGGGAGGCCTGAGTCACCCTTTTGTCCTGGGAACGCAGGCAGAAAATCTCCGGGGTCACCCTGTGAAGGTGGCACAACGCGCGTCACAACGGCAACAAGAGTCTCATTGGCCACTGGGCGCCTGTGACGTCACCGCGACGCCTCCGCCAAGCGAGGTGCACTTTGAGGCCACGTGAAGTGTCGATGGGCCGCTGACGGGAGGGTCACGAAACAGACCCAGGTCACGTGGATTGACTGAGATGACTGGCAGATGCTTAAGATCGCATTCAACTAATAAAACATAAATGGTGTGGAGGCCAGTTTCAAAGGCAATGCGCACATTATTAGAGCATGTTTGTTAATGTTCACCACAAGCACATGTGGTTAAAACAGACTTGCTTCATTGCAAAAGGTATCTATTTGGTGTTTAAACATCTTAACACCAGTTTCATTGACATGATAAAACATTATAAAACGTGGTATTTTTAAAAAATATTTTAACAAACCAGGCTTGAGAGTTTTATTCTGGAATGCACTTCACGTGGCGGCAAGCAACTGCTATTCTGAGATGTGAGCAACCTACCTCTGGGCACAGTCAATGGGCAGCGAAGCAAAGATACAAAACAACTCCATTACACAGCGACAGAGAGCAGCATGTTGGAGTGTACAAACACACAACACTCTCTCAACACAGTGTACACACACACACAACACTCTCTCATCACAGTGTACACACACACACACAACACTCTCTCAACACAGTGTACACACACACACACAACACTCTCTCATCACAGTGTACACACACAACACTCTCTCATCACAATGTACACACACACAACACTCTCTCAACACAGTGTACACACACACAACACTCTCTCATCACAGTGTACACACACAACACTCTCTCATCACAATGTACACACACACACCACTCTCTCAACACAGTGTACACACACACAACACTCTCTCAACACAGTGTACACACACACAACACTCTCTCATCACAGTGTACACACACAACACTCATCACAATGTACCCACACACAACACGCATGTCAGGACGTCACGATGTCCCGTGTGGAGGACATAGCCAACGAACCTTTAATCCAGGCAATCCAGGAATTCCCTGCGGAGACAAATTGACCACACGTGTTATTTTCAGCAATTCTCCAGCCTTAAGCAAAGTGGAATAATGAGTGTATATTTACACACATATAGATATATACATTTCTGTGCATATATGCAGGGTGCTTCAAATAAATGTTGTCCCTTATGGGACTATCTTTTTAATGGAAAAACAACATGATAACAAATGTATGTTATCATGAGGCCAGTACCACCTTTTGGCGTCATCTGGCCCAACACCATATGAGACTAGGCTCTAAGAAAAGCTGTCTCTGGTGTGGACTAATCAGTTTCAAGTACAATGCATACATTATCAGAGTATTGTTTTTTGTTTGCATTTGACTGCAAGTATTGTGGCTAATGTTAACATGATTCCTTGCAAAAGGTGTCAGTTTTGTTGCCAGAAAAAAGGGGAAACCCCCTATTATTATAAATATATGTGAATAGCTTCAACAAGTCAAAGAGTCTCCACTTGTTCGCCATCGTTGTCAACGCACGCCTGGAATCTTCTACAGGTGGTCTCCGGAGTTCGGAGGCAGCACATTTCTCGTGGTGTTGTTGCAAATTCTTAGAAGTGTTAACATTTTTCTTAAAGAATCCTGTCTTTATATTAAAAAAATAATGTATCGTGCATTAGGAATGCCACACTCAGTCCGAAGGCTCTTGATGAGAAGGGTCCTGCTGCATTGGGATATTTGACCAACACCAACCCCACTGTGTAAGTTTGTAGCTCAGGGAAGGAGGCCAGAGAACACGGAGGGAACTCGTGCGGAACGGGTGGTGGTGGTAGATGCGTTTGAGAAATCGAACCCAGGCCCTTCCATCTCCGAGGCACACTTGACCACTGTGCTACCCTGCTGCCCAGTGGATGATGATGACGACGACGATGACGATCCTGTCACTCACCCGAGGTCCCATTAACCCAGGCACTCCGTCGTTACCAGGCAGCCCAACGTCTCCCTAAAGACAGCCGGACATGACAAGTGGTCAGCACGTGCACCACACGCAAAACAAAGACAAAGATCCCCCCCGTATTGCCTGAACAGACTGTTGGGGCGAATCCTGTTCGCGAATAGCACCTATGAAGGCCTACACGGCATACGAGGGGTTGGGTGGCCAGCACCGCGCTCGGCCGCCTTTGTCTCCCCAGTGGCGATGTTTACACATGGCACTGGGTACTCATTTGAGGCTGAATCGACCTAGGGGAGGCCCAGGAACGGTCCAGATAATTGTCACCAGTGTTGGCCGTGAGCAGGAATCGAACTCGGGTCGCCAGGTTAGTAGCGTGGCGCAGCGCTAACCGCGACGCCACTACCGCTCCCGATCCGAACACACCGGCTGGAAGCACGTGCAAGCCACCACCACGCAGAGGCTGCCAGTATGCATAGCTGTTGTCGCTTGATGTTGCTGAGAGTTATTGCTGCCAGAACGTCAAGTAGCTGTCACGCACAGACGTTAGCCCGCACGCCGATCAACGCACGTAGCCGTGAACGCACGGCTGCTTGGCTCGCGAGCAAAAATGCGCACAAATATAAATAACCCCCCACCATGTAGCCATGCAGACTGTTGGAAGGCTGTTGAGGCCAGCCATCAACAGTGAACATGAACCACAACCAGCCCACCTTTGTCTCGCCAGTACTAACGTTCACACACCACACCTGGGACTCATTTACGGCTGAGCCGACTGAGGCAAAGCCAAGGACCGCTTCAAATATTTGCCACGGATTCTGGCCGTGAGCCAGAATCGAACACAGGCCACCGGGTTCGTAGCGCAGGGCGCTCACCGCTGCACTACCGCTCCCGCTATTCGCGCTCTGAACACACACACACAGACACACGTACACACGGACACTCGGTTGGCTGCACTCAGCGCTCTGCACCACCCTCTCTCTCTCTCTCTGTGCAGCTCCACACACCTTGGTCCCATTGCATCCTGGGATCCCGGGAGGCCCCATGGGGCCGTCTTGTCCATTGAGGCCCTGCCGGGTGGAAAATCGGTGTTGGGTTAGGGGCACAGGAAATGCCCTGGCCAAGGCAATTTCCAACATTGCGTTTTTAATTGGAGATGTCCGTGCGTCAGTTGGTACATCGTGCGGTACACCGTGAACACACATCAGAGATCATTGCTCCTGCACATGAACCTATTGCAGTCCAGATTTATGGATGTTACCTATACTGTACTGAGTGTAATTATCACTGCCTCTTATCGTAGTTTGATGTTCATTCTGTCGACAGTGCAAAGATAGTTGTCATTCGTAACAACTTTTTCTCTTGCAATTAACTGTACTTTGTGAGTGAAGTTTAGATGTTGTTAATGTACAATACAGTGCTTTGAGATATTTCTATATGAAAGGCCCTTTATAAAATAAAGGTGAATATTATTGTTATTATAACCAGGGCTTCATTTAAGCCTGATCTGTCCAGGGCAGAAAACCGGCAAGGAATATTTCCACGCCCGGCACACCACATCCAGTACACTGCTCGCCATGGCTGGCTGTGTGCTACTGATCGTGGTGCCGTCACCCGGACATTTACCGACGCGAAGGAAAATATTTGGTAGAGAAATGAAGCCCCTGCTCATAACTCACCCAGTAGATTCCCATCCTTAGCCCCTACCCAGACTAATCACCCTTCACCAAATTACGGGGGGCGCCAAGAGGTAATGGGTTCAGCGCCCCCCCTCCCGAAGCAGTTTACCCCGAAGCCAATTGATATCACCTCTTTGCAGCTCTTCACTTTGAACCTCAATGCAGCATGCCTTTCCTTTCACTTCAAGAGGCACGGTGACAACAAGACACGTTCACAAGATGAGGCGGTGCGACGCGATGTGCAATGTGTGTGATGTGCGGTGGAACGAGCACGGGCACGATGAGGTGTGATGATGTGCGGTGCGATGTGGCACTCACCGGCATGCCTGGCGTCCCTGGAAACCCTGGGGTTCCTGGTGTCCCCTGTGTGGCAAAAGAATGGAGTCAGAGTTTGCGCACACACATATGTGCGTACAAAGACAAAGATCCCCCGTATAGCCTTAACAGACTGTAGGGGCAAGTACTGTTAGCGAGTACCTATGCACACACATGCGCACACAAACGCAAGCATGCGCACACATCTCGCCCGTGCCACACCTGCTCCCGACCGAGAGATGGCAGCCTCTCCTCCCTCGTGAGCTTTCAGACTTTCCATGCAGCCAGCTCAAGAAATGTTCAGTTTTATATCGAGTCGTTCATGCAAATTGCATTTCACAATCTCTGAGGAACCACAGACAGTCTGTATGGCAGCCAGGCGGTCAGCCAGCTGAAACAACTGCCCGAGCTCTGAAGTCCTCGACATATATATCTCAAGATGTTTTCAGCCAATCAATGGGTGTTTACACGTGTGGGAGAAAACCGTAGCGCCTGGAGGAAACCCACGGGCGACGCGAGGATTTTAACGGTTGACCTGCACGGGGAGGATCTGGGCTCGCGTCGGGGCCTGCGTTTCATTTGCTCCATTTTTTAAAAACACATTTGGCTTGGATATGACATGCCGTGCCGTGTCAAGGCGAGCGGAAACCAGACGCGCCTGGTAATGGGATGCACGCGGTGCAAATCTACAAACATAATTACGCCTGGGAACAGCGTACGGAGACGTGGCAGCCGCTCGTCATAAACAAGGGCGGACGACCGTCCGCCTGCCCGCCTGCCCGCCTGCCCGCCTGCCCGCCTGCCCGCCTGCCCGCCTGCCCGCCTGCCCGCCTGCCCGCCTGCCCGCCTGCCCGCCTGCCCGCCTACCCGCCTGCCCGCCTGCCCAGCCGGCCTCTGCTGCTGCCCTGCCCGCTCGCCTGTGGCTCCTTCTCCACGCGTCCGCCAGTCGCCCTCGCTGGCTCTTCGCGAAGCGAGCCAGATACTGTGCGGTGCCGTGTGTTTCGAGTTGAAATTACTCTCATTCCTATTATCGGTAATAACGGCCATCGTTGCCGCGTAAGGAAACGATACAGTCCTTTGTCAATCCACTCATTGGAAACTCGTTTCTTTAAAACTGCTTTTTGTGTTTAGTTTGTTGTCCTTACCCTGCACCTCAGATTAGCGTGATTGGCTACGTACGGTGTGAAAGAAGTTCAACCCACACACGCGCGCGCGGATGGGTGGAGGTCTACGCATACCGTGTCGTTCGGCGACTGTCTGATCACAACTCTGTGGTCATTTTCCCAAAATTGCATTCGTGGATAAGTGGGCTAGTCATTAAGCCCCCGGGTAATGGGATGGAAACGGTATTGGGATGACTATGGTGATGTGTGCATTATGGTAATGGGTTGAATATGTTAACTGGATGAATATGGATATGGAATGCATATGGACATGTGATGAATATGGAACTGGGATGAATACGGCGCGTAACTCCCCTTATCCGCGAAAAATTATCCGCGAAAAACAACTCCAGATAACAGAGAGCCGTTATGCAAAGCGGGATGGCAAAATAACTGGGGATTATCAGAGATAATGGTAATCATAGGGCTGGAGCTAGTAAGAGATTTATTTGACCCTATAATAGAGTCGAATGAGAAGATGTATCCTGTGGTGTTATTATTTTGTGAAAATGTTTGTATTTTACCAGGTAAGGCCCACTGAGCTACGTAGCTCTTTTTCAGAAGCGACCAGGACACAAATGATAGCTCAACGAAGTGGCTTATCACGTGGCAATTTATGGCAGCAAAATACTCGATATGCGTAGTGTGGTGAGTGACAATCACCCTGACATATGCATGTTTCTAAAATTTGGAAGTGGACGAAGCAGAGGACCGGGAGATAAAACCCACGTGACCACCGGGAGAGAGAGTCACGCAAGCTCCAAATATACAGCAGCAGGCGACAGGGTCGGGATCGAACCCACGACATCCTGTATATCAGGCGAGGTAGTTAACATATTATAGCCACCATGATAATGATGAGAGATACACAAGCTCCAAATATACAGCAGCAGGCGGCAGGGTCCGGATCGAACCCACGACCTCCTGTATACCGGGCGAGGTGGTTAACATCTGCTAGCCACCGTGATGATGATGAGAGAGACACGCAAACAGGTCACGCGCGTCGATTGGGAGGAACTCACCCTGAAGCCCTTGGGCCCAGCGTGGCCCATGTCTCCCTGGTCGCCCTGCAGAAACACAATTCCAACGTCAAGCCGAGTCCCGAGTGTCATGTGCGGAGCAAACGAGCAACAGATCCGCACTCGTTTAATGTCGGGAGTCCACATTCGCATGAACCAGTTTTTGCTGTGCTGGAATGCAGCAGCTGAGCTTCAACACGGTACTTTGAAAGCTCTGCGCGTGATGAGTGGTGGTCTGGTGTGGTGTTGGATGGTCACGTGTAGTGTAGCACGGAGTGTGGTATTGGGCGACGAGAGGAAGTGCAGCATGGAGCGTGGTATGATGAGAGGTATCACGGTATGACGCCATGTGATGTGGTCTGCGGGGTGTGGGCCGTGAATTCCACTTGCCTTGCTGCCCTCTGGCCCAGGTGAGCCCTCGGGCCCTGAAAATCCTGGAAGTCCCTGAGGTCCCTGCAGGCCTGGGAGGCCTGATGCACCCTACACACACACAACAACAACGACGACAAAGACACAGATCCCCGTACAGCCTCGTACACACTGCTGGAGCAAGTGATGTTAATGAGCACCTCTCAAAGCTGGGCATGGCACTTGATGGGATGGTGTGGCCGACGCTACATCGGTGCCGATGTTCACACACCACAAGAGGTCCTCATTGAAGTCTGAGTTGACCAACGGGAGGTCCCAGGAGAGGTTTAGATATCACTCCCCAATGATGTTAGCTCCCAGTGGCTTCCTAATTACGGCAGGAAGAGCGTTCCAGACGGCCGCAGAAGCGCATCTGAAAGCGCCACGTGATGTGGTGACCGCAGTCTTCGTTCGATGGGCAGCCAAAAGCCGCTGCTGCCGCTGCTGCTGCGATGACCGAAGTTCGTGCGTTGATGGTTAATGCTCCTTAACAAGATCAGCACCATCCGCCTAACAATTCAAATGAACTCAACGCACATTCACGCAGCGGTGGAGCGACTTGGCAGAGCGGAGCTCGCCGCGGGGTTGGTGGTGGGAGTGGGGTGAAAACGATGATCTGGGAGCTGGAGGGCCCCACTTCCCCAGGAGAGGCCGGGGAGTGCCGGCTGGCCGAGTGTCCTGCCCGGCTGGCCCAGTGCCCTGCCCGGCTCCCCCTTGGCAGTGCCTTAGCCCGAAGCGAAGGCACTGCCAAAGTGTGGCAGGGGCCCCTTTGGCCCAGACTTGCCACCGTCGCCACGGGCAGCATCCGTGGCCGAGCCTGTCGCGTTTCACGTTCGCCTCTGGCAAATTGGGAATCGGCGAAGCGACGGGACAACTCGGGACACGGGGCTCGTCAAGACGTCACGATGGGCTCCAGATCCTCACGCAGCGCCGCGAAGCGCACTCCCCTCAGCGCCGTGCCGCTAATTGACTAAATCCGGCCCTCGCTTTCCACCAAAGTGGCTAAATAGATTTCGAGTCAATCATCGCAGCCTTACATGTTGCGATTATCCCTAATTGGCTTTGCCCGATTTCCCCCTGGGAGGCGAGCGAGCGAGCGCGCGACGGAGACACGAGTGGGAAACTTCCATTTTCCGCTTTTGATCATCGCAAAACGTCGAGCGAATTGCGTGGGGTTTTTTGTTCTCTCGGGAAGTCATCGGCTGAGAGGTGGGAGGAAGGCGGGGGGAGGAGGGGGGGAGCGACGACTTGGGCTATGCCTGGTAGATTCGATGTGGGCTTGCTGTGGTTGATACTGGCTGTTTGGGCTGAGCTGCAGCTCGGTCGGTAGTTAAGGCAAAAGAGTGCACGCCTGGGCCACGATGCGCACAGCTGAACGGATGCAGCAGAGGACTAGCAGGCGGAGAATACATTTGTAGCGTATCAGGGGTTGTTTGCGAGCTGCAGTGCTGATGGGTTAGCGAGCGGGTGAGTGTGAGCTGCAGTGTCACGTGTGGGTAGGTGGGTGGGTGGCCGAGTGAGCGAGTTTGTGTGTGGTGGTTGAACACAGCAGAGGGGATTAGACGAAACGGTCACTGCTGCTGCTGCTGCTGCGAGGGTGAACGGAGTTCTCGCGGTGATGGTTTATCCTCTTCTTGGTTCTTTCGGTAAAGTCACGTAGAAGGGAAATAATAAAATAATAAAAATACAACATTATATATAATATGTAAATGATGTTTTATTTTTTTTATTTTATTATTTCCCTTCTACGTGACTTTACCGAAACAACCAAGAAGATGAATTCCTGCAGTCACGAAAGCTTTAAATCGAAATGGTTTATCCTCCTTAACAAGACATCAGCACCACCCGCGTAACAAATCAAATGGAGATGATGTGTTGCGGTGCAAGGGGGTTGAGGCTGGGAGCGAGTGGCCAGCTGGTGGAGGAGGCTGGTGGAGTTGAACATCTCACCTTGTCTCCCTTCGCTCCACTGCAGTCACATGACGACCCTGAGGAACAGCCGTGGCACGCCTGGAACAAACGACAACAACGACAAGATTTATCAACAACAACATATAAGACAAAGCTCCCCCGTATGGCCTTAACAGACCGTTGGGGCAAGTGCTGTTAGCGAGCACCTATGAAGGCCGGCACGGCACACGAGGGGGTGAGTGGCCAACACCACGCCCGACTGCCTTTGTCTCCCCAGTGGCAATGCTTTTACACACACGCACAAGGTACTCATTTGAGGCCGAGTCGACCTAGGGGAGGCCCAGGACCGGTTCAGATAATCGTCACCGGTGTTGACCGTGAGCGCGAATCGAACCCGCGGTTAGCCAGGTTCGCAGCGCAGCGTAGCGCTAACCGCTGAGCCACCGCTCCCCAAGACACACCGCCGCACAACACAACAACGGGTGCCGCGCAAGTGCCGGCACCTCCGTACGGTGCGAAGGAAGTTCTACGCACGTGTGCGTACAGCGTCTCGCGCGCGCGCGCGTGTTTGCGTGTTCTGGTTTCACTCGTCGTGGAAGCGGCTCGTTCGGGATCTTGTGCGCAGTGGTACCACCATCGCCACCAGAGGGCAACACTTTGGTTGCGCGAAACGAACCCAGTGGGATCGTTGTACTGGGTTCATTCAACAGTGGTTGTCCTGTCACTCACCCCTGCCATATGAATGCGGAATTTCCATCGCTGTTTCAAGAGAGAGCTGTCAACGGGAAGAGAGCACTGACTAAATGCTTACGGGCTGTTATTGATATTTTTTTTAAATCACAACATTGACAGTGTTAAGATTGTATCGCAAGCACAGCGGGTAGGAAAATTATCCCCACGTGTCACCGCCAGTCTACTTAAAAGCGAGCCAGAAAATGTTGAATGATGGATGAATAATCGCTGATCGTATGAATTCTGCACTTTATCGGCAGGGTCCCCGGTGTGCCTTGAGAAATGCTCCTAGAAACGCGTTATGTTCGGCATAGCCCGTAGCCTGTACTGCTCTTTTCTCACCACCGCTATCCCGAAAGGGTGGCTTCTAAAGAACAATTCTCATCCATCGAGCCGTGAATACCGACATCAAATACAAGAGTAGCCCTTGCTGGCAGAACCAAAAAATCACGCAATAATAATTAGAATTTAAATTTGTAAAGTGGGCCCATTTCATCCGAAGGTCCCACCGATGCGCCACCGCTGTGTATAGAAAGCCACGAATTAAATAGAACCTGCAGAGTACATGGCCCGGACTAGTTGGGGGGGGGGGGGGTAGAGGCCGGTTTACAGAGGTGAGTTTACAGAGGTGAGTTTACAGAGGTGAGTTTACAGAGGTGAGTTTACAGAGGTGAGTTTACAGAGGTGAGTTTACAGAGGTGAGTTTACAGAGGTGAGTTTACAGAGGTGAGTTTACAGAGGTGAGTTTACTTTACAGAGGTGAGTTTACAGAGGTGAGTTTACAGAGGTGAGTTTACAGAGGTGAGTTTACAGAGGTGAGTTTACAGAGGTGAGTTTACAGAGGTGAGTTTACAGAGGTGAGTTTACAGAGGTGAGTTTCTCTTCGCTGCCGTCGCCGGAACCTTTCGGCGTGTCGTATCGGGCTCGCGATTTTTTGTTGTTGTAACGAAGGCATGAAAAAAAACTAATGAAGTACGTTTCCAAGACCGACTTAAATATCGCTAAAGGCTACGTTCGCCTTGTTAGCAAAGCGTTCCAAAACTTGGGAGCGGCACGGTGGCAACATCCCGATCAGCGGCCACATCCCGATCACCCCGGGACACGCGCAGTGGTGATCTGCCTTGTTCACCCCGGCATTGTCCAAGCAGAGCTAGCTGGCATGCTGTCAACAAAGAAGCAGGCGCCAACATCGCGAGTTTAACTCGCCAACACAACTCTGCGGGGAGGAGGAGAATGTAAAGTACAAAAAAAAGTGTTGGCAGCTTATCTCCGACGTAACGGTCGTGCGTGTTTGGGAAGTTCATAATTGTGAACGACATTAATCGTTGAGAAGCATCGCACGCACAGCCAGCTGTCTCTGTATTTGGCAGTCTTCTTTTGTAAGTTGTTGCGATATTCCTGAAAGGCCCTGCTGATCTACTCCTTCTCTGCACTGTCGACGTCTTTATCTTTGTGCTGCTTCTGCTGCTTCTGCTGCCGATGTAGTTGCAGCAACGCAGCAACCACCACGGATCTCCCGCGCAAAATAGCCGGGCGGCTAATTCCAGATTTGAAGTTTTCGTGACTGCAAGGATTCATACTCTTTGGTTTTTTCGGTAAAGTCACGTAGGAGGCTTGTGTTGCTTCCGAAACGTCGTGAGTAAATTTATTTATTTATTTTACCTACGTGACTTTACCGAAAAAACCAAAGAGCTGGGCGGCTGGCTGAACGAGATCATCATCCGTGTAACCTCACGAAATAAACCGACAACCTACAACAGTGGGACTCGCCGATAGATCGTCGTGCCGCGTGCCAGGACAGCCCCACGGCGTCTTCACCGTGACAGGCGCCGACTTTCTGGGTCGACAGTAATCTCGTTGGGAGCTCTCCGCACCAACACTCACCATGCTCCCCCATGCATAGCTATGTCCAAAACTTTTAGGCATACCCCCTACCCACCCACACCACACCACCACGTCCGTCTTTGCCTTCCTATTTTGCCCCTTCTGCTTTTAATTCTCCCAGAGAATGAGGAGGAGGACGTGTGGGGAGCAGGGTCGCCGGATCCGTAGCGCAGAGCGTTAGAACCACAACGCTACCGCGTTCCCCAGCGCACACGCACACACACACGTTACATGCCCACATCACACACACGCACACACGAACAACATGAATAAATACACGGACACGTGGTACTAATTTAACAAGTTATCCCTCCGACGGGGGGTGGCGGCGGGGACGTGGGTGGGTAGGTGGGTGGGTGGGTGTGTGGGGCTCCATCTAATGATGAACAGATCGTCCTGGGGAATAAAAAAAAAAGGTACTGGAAACGCTGCACCCCACTTATAATGGCAAAATCGTGCGTTCAGCTCAAACGCGAGGACGCAGAGCTCGCGGATCAAGGACGCGCGCAGAGTGGCTCGCGCGCGTACGGAGACGCTGACACGTGCACACGAGGGCATGTGGAAACACACGGACACTTTTTTTTCTAAGCAAAAAAAACGTATCGCAAGCCCTGTAGCTCGAACATACCAGACTTAACCATATCCACATTGTGATTGTAAATTGCGCTCGCTGCGCACGCAGGCGCCGATGCAACTGTTGGGGCCAGGCCGAACCATTGTAGGCCTCGCCAAGTAAGTCAAGTCGTGCTCGGATGACTATTCAGTTGTTCGCCAGCTGACTGGCAATTGACAGCGGATTTTTTGTGTATTGCTACCGGTCATCACCCTGCGCACAATGTGAACGTTTGCCGCGCGGAGGTGGCTGCGTTGCTGCGCGCGGCTGACTATAACCCAGTGCTGTGGAGGCAGCAGCAGCAGCAGCTAGGGATGGTGGATCACCGCACACAGACGTTGCGACGCTACTCCCCGTGGGTGTCGAGGTGCCATAAGCCTGTCCTGCTAGGAGAACGGCAGAAATGTGCCCTTCCACCTGCTCCTCTGATTAACATCGTTGGCTACGTACCGTTCGAAAGAAGCTTCAAGATGCATACGTATGGGATAGAGTGTTTCCCCCTCACGCCACGGGTGTGTTTTCTGCAGGGGCTCCGGCTCCCTCCCACATGTTAACACCTCAATGTGTAGAGGACTGGACCGCAGAGCTTTGGGAAATTGTTGACGCCGGATCATCACGTGGCTACCTCTCTGCTCGTCTGTTGTTCCTCGTGTCACTTGAGTCGTGCTCTCTCTAGGAGCACGAGCGAATTACTTTATGGTGCGGTACAACTTGACACTGTTTTGTTACAAAGAATACGGAACACAAGCTAGAAAGGTGCGCAGAGGAGCGTGCAGATGTGCTTGTGGGTAATTACGCCGAAAGTTAAACACGTTATAGTCTTTGGGTCTGTCCGTAAAGTGACTTTACCGAAAGACCCAAAGAATATGAATTCCTGCAGTCACGAAAGCTTTAAGTCAAGACAAAACACGTTAATTAGAAAAAAAAACACGAATTGGGTCCATATCGACACCGAAGATAGTGGACTTGGAGTGTCAAATGTCGTTAGGAGCAATAACCTCGGGTTTTCTGATAAACAAACTCAATTTGTTTAATTTCCCACGTGACAATTTTATTTTATTTGTTCTGTCAGGTTATGGTAAAACAAAATGCATGTCTATACAATCCAGCAGAAGATAAACTAATTCTAAAAATGTTTAAGCTGTGGCGTGGACGCAAACATTTTATGCGCTATTATTATTTCCACCACAGGAGGGCATCAGTGACTGGCTGATGGAAAGGAAAGGGAAGCTCACCATTCGACACTCGTATACAATGTAGCTGTCAATTGTCGGGGAGTTTATGCCCCATGGACAGCCTGAAACCCGCCATATGAACGTGTAATTTCCACCACTGGCTCAAGACTGCCAAGAGACGTGAGTGTCACCCCACACTTTTTGGAACAAGGAGGCACACGGTGGCCCTCTGAGAGGGTGAAAGTGCTCACCAATCACCGCTCGGAGACAAATGACGTTGAAACTATTGACAAGTGCGTCATGTAGGGCTCCTAACGTTTGTGAGCCTCGATGTTAGCGTGCGGGTCCGCCACGTTATTCCACATGTCTCTGTGCAAGTCTGTGGGTCGTCGTGTGACAATCTTTTAGGAGGGGGGGGGAAACATCGACGGTTTTAAAATTGTATATTTGGTCCAGGGCGTCAGCGGATGCGCGGCCTCCTCTTATGAACGGCGCCACAGGAGCCGGGGGGCATTGTCACTCGACGGGCGAAAAGGTTGAATCGATCAAAGTTCTAGAAATCTCACTTCCCGGGAAGCGCGCTAGCCACCAGACTGCCACAGCTTGTCGGCTCTCTCCGCCAAATGTCTTGAAAGTGTGAGCTCTTAACCACATTCTGTTCTTTTCATGCGTATTTATTTTTGTGTTTTACCAGG